ATCGCGCGTTAAATTTTTGATCTAAATTTTTGATCGATCATGCCAATCACGAGATTTTGATCACCAGCCAATAAAATTGAAATTAAAAAACTTAAATTTTTATAAATCTGATGGCCAATCATATTTAATAAAAATTATTTACATGATCTGCCAATCAAAAGGAACCATTTTTAATCTTCTGGTTTAAAATACCCTAGTAAAATTTCATTCAATCCTTTCGCTGTACCCAAAGACATAACGTGTTTTTCATACGGTTTACCTTCCTAGAGTACTGGAATCGCCCATATTTAGCTTGGGGAACTCTCACCAAATGGGATGAGCTTTTTAAAGAGAAAACTCGCAATTCAAGTTTGCAAGATACACGCCTCTGTTTAATCAAAGAACTCGAAGTATTAAAAGAGAAGTTTGAACTTCATACAACTCAAGGAAGAAAAGTCGTTGCTTTTCTCAGAACTCTAGAGGTCAGTACTTTCGCGTATCAACTTCTACATGTGTGCCCTTTTTGGGAGAGCGTCCAGACATAGAGCATCCGCGACATGCGGTTAGGGAAAGTCCTGACTTAATATTTTTGCTAATTTTTTTTTTCTCAAATTAATAAAATTATTAGAAGGATCAGTAAATTCCAGAAAAAGAAAATATCCGAATTGCACGTCAATGTTGGTGAATTTTCTGCATTAATCAAATACTGTCAAGATCTCAAAGAAATGCAGGAAAACCATATTGATGAAATTTCTCAGTTAGGGAGGCATCTTTCTATACTTTTAAAATGGTCAGATATAGATAGCAAGCTTTTTGAAATACCTGTAACTCCACCGACTATTCTGAGACCTGCTCTCCATCTTAATAACCTCAAAGTAATACTTGAAGAATATCCTGGCATACAAACTGATAATATTCTGGATGCATTGCTTGAAAGAAATTGAAATAATATAAAGATTCAGATGTGGTCAAAAATCTTATCAGATTCGTTTGTTTTGAATCAAACTCGATTCAAACCAATCTGGGAACTTAACCACCTTATTCCTGGAAATGCTAAGGAAGGTTCTTCAAGATCTTATTTTGTTGCCGCGATTTTGAACTCGAAACAATGGCAATTCCCTTTTTTTATTGTTGAATTTGAACAGCATGGTTTTGAGGTTCACAAGGATTTCGCTATTGTTATTTGCGAAGCTGTATTTGAACTAGATACATTTTGGACTCATTAATGATGCATCCATTAACTTGGGTGTGATCAGACCAATATTTAGTGGGTTGCCAATTTTTCCATGAAATTCTTGATGATTAGTCCATCTCTGCATACAATTTCCGAAAATACACTATTAAATCAAGAACATTCTTTACATTATCAAGTTGGCAACCTGTTTGTATGTTGTAAGACACAATGTCCCGATCATATGCAAAAATGATCATTATTATAAGCAGTCACTAAGATAACACCTAGGAAAAAGCGGATCAAGTATATACACCAATGGAATGAAAATCTCATTTCATCAAGATCAATTGGACAAGTGATGTAGGTGTAATTGTGCATTAGAAAAATAAAAATTAATTATATTTTTGATGATATAAGCGTTCTGATATACAGTCGGGTCTCTCTATAATCACACATTTGGGACCAGTAAATTTGGTGATCATAGAAAGATTGTGATTATATAGCGATTTTTTTACATAGATTTACTACGAATTGGTTCTCACAAAAAGTGTTATTATATACAGATTGTGATTATAAAAAGTGTGATTATAGAGAGACCCGACTGTATATTTTATCATATGGGTCGATAACTCATGGGCAAAAATCTAAATAAGGAAATTTTTACTTATAAAATCGAAGATCAGTTTCCTTTTTTAGATTTTTGCTCATGAGTTATATGAGTTATCGCACATTCGCCCATATGTATAATAAATTTTTATGTATCACAAATTGTCATAATTGTAGATAGTTCTAGAATCATTGCACAAATGTTGATCATTCCATATATATAAAATCACCGTTTTGGAAATATAGATGAAAAATTGTCAAGGCAAATTTTCACCAGTCCCGTGTACATATCGAAAACATGGTTTTTCGGATTCTCACCAACACAATGTGTTTCCACCTACCCAAGTGTTAATGGCTTCTTGGCAGATCTAGATCTAAAGCACTTCTGTCGACTTCGATCAGGAAAGAGAAAAGAAAAGTGAAACATCACGTAACGCAAAATTTTGGTAGTACAAATAATCTGTGATTACACAATTTTTTATAAGTGCAACTAAATAAGTAGACGAGTTTTATTCATTCTTTCTTTCTATAACAAATAAAAATATCATAAGTGTCAGTGTTTGAATTTACATTAACTGATTTATCATTGTTTATAAACAGTTATTACAAGTTGACCTTACGACCAAAAAAATTCTTGCATTTAACATCGTATTTTTCAGACTTAAGAAAATGGTTAAACTTAGAGCAGAAGGAACAAAAATTATATCAAAAGGAATAAAATGGCTCTTTCAAATTTACGTTGTATTCTCAGTCATATATACATTAAACCATTTTTACAACGAATATTTATATAATGATTTGGATGGAAATATAATACAAAGGAATGAACCGGAATTAGGAATTCAAATTCCGTTATCATGGGGACAAGATAGACTATCTTGGAAGTCTCATAGTGGTCGGTTCATGAATATCGAAAATAAATTATTCAAACCATTAAATTTAAATCGTTTTGAAGACATTTCGGTTGGAAAAGATAAAATATGTGATATCAATTAAATAATTTGTATTTATCTAAATTAATAGGGATATATGATTATATGACTGAAGAATTTTTCTTATCTAAAGTCTTTTCTGAATCAATGCAACCCTCGCACGTAATTCCATATTATTTCCGAGCCCAAGAAGCTCCAACTGAAGAAGACATAACCATCACCACATTAATTACATTAGATCGTTTTTCCGTATTTGATAGACTTGTCACTAATTATAAAGGTAATAAAATTATTTATATTATTTATTATATTATTTATCTGAATTATTTAATTATTTCCTAATTCCCTTTTTTATATTAATTTTAATTAATTTTAATTAATTTTAATTAATTTTTTAAAGGACCAATTTCCGTAACAATACATGTCAATGATGATCAAGAATCACGTGATAAATTGATTAATGCTCTACATGATCTTTATAATAATAATCCTTATATGAAGCAATATGTTGATGTTCATCTTGTCGTCGATAAATTTGAACGACAATTTAATATGTGGCGTAATATAGCAAAATTTTTTGCTCGCACGAATTATGTCATGATGTTGGATGTCGATTTTCATCCATGTACAAATTTCAGAAAAACGATATTAGATTCACCAGAGATAATGGAAAAATTACGAGCAGGAAATACTGCTTTGGTAGTACCAGCTTTTGAATATGCTGATTTAATAGAAGGTCTTTATTATACAACATTTCCTCGTACAAAGGAAGATGCAATAGAATTAGTGAATTCAAAGCGTTTAGTCATGTTTCATGCGGCTTGGAAACCAGGTCACGGTTCATCCAATTATACACATTGGTATGGTGCAAATGAATTATATAAAGTCACTCAGTATCAATATCAATATGAACCTTACGTTATTTTCCCTAAACATAGTATTTGGTAAGATATTAATTTAATTCATATATGAATTTATATGTAAATTTAAAAGGAAAAAAAAAAAAAAAAACTTATTTTAAACATTTTAAATTAAATAAAAAGGTGTGATGAAAGATTTGTCGGATATGGTGCAAATAAGGCGGCTTGCTTATTTGAGTTATATCTTTCTGGAATAGATTATTGGGTACTTCCTGATGATTTTCTAATTCATCAAACGCATGAATATCTCGAAAGCGCAAGACGAAATGAGGTAGATTACTATGAGAAATTATAATCATTTGTTATAATTATATTTAAATTATATATTAAATCATATATTAAATCATATTTTAAATTTTATTTTAAATTATAGCGAAAATTTAATAAAAAATTATATGATCATTTCCGAGAAGAACTTTGCTTCCGGTACGCTAGAAACTTTATTATAAATGGGGAATGGAATACACCGAAAGCTCATAATCTAAAAGAAACATGTCAAAAGATCAGAGGATTCACACAAGCTATTAAATATTTTACAAAAACCGATAAATGATTTTTTTTTTTTTCTCAAAATATTTTTTTTAGATTAAAAATACCTGTAATAATAATAATTAGAACAAAATTTTTAATTTTCTAGAATGAATAATTTATAACCTTCTCAATTCACTAATAATATTATATAGTTTCAATTCTGTAAAGTATTTATAAAATATAAAGTGTAACAAAATTTATAATATGAAAAATTTTTTTTTTCTTTTAGTAATTAATGTCATGTGATTTAAACCTAGTATAATTTTTCGCCTCAATTTAGGATTTTTAGGATTGCTATTTTGGGAAATTAAAAATATAATAGAATTACACACGTTAATGTAAATAATTTCGTATGAATAATTTGAGAAATCTATCTATTTATAAATTTATTACTTGAATAAAATTATAAATATTGTTAAAACTAGTGGTTAATAATTATAATTATAATCTTATAATTATATTATTTTTATTATTATTCGTCCATTTGGTCATATGGATTTATAACTTTTATCTCTTTATTTTGTTTAATTGGATAACAAAGAACGAAACGTGGGTTTCTTTTGCATGCCACATTTTTTTTTTTGAATAAGTTATGTTTGTTAAAATAAAATGGATATTATTATTAAATGAATGAAAATATGCTTATTATTTTACTTATTATTGTATATACACCACGCATTTATTATCATATATTCTTATCAGATATTACAGATAAATTATGCGATAAGAAGGGAAGCTCAAGAAAATCTTTATCTGAAAAGAAACTCTATAAAAATAAATTTTAATGCAGATACTTGTATTTCTATTAATTAATTAATTAAATATTATTGCCAAAATAATTTTAGAATTTCTTTACACAAAACGGATATAAATATTTATACTGTATATTTTATGCTGTATTTATACTGCTAAAATTACCTATTATAATTATTAATAATATATCTGTCATACCCATTTATACTATTTATACTATTTATACTATCTAATATATCACTCACTCACTTACTGTATACGTAACAACGTTAATTTCAATTGGTTCCTTCAGCTTTTCATGTTGACTGATATGGTTACATAATTTTTTCATAATTTTTTCATAATTTTTTATATACGTCATAGGTCTTTTTCAGTTGGGTTTAAATTGAAATAAATATATACAAATTTTAGTAAAAGAGAAAACGAAGAGATCAAGAAATTTAGAAGATAAATATACTGAAGGTAATAAAGAAAAATTCATCAGAAACATGCAACGAATGAAATTATGAACCTTTTAATTTTATTATACATAATGATCTAACTAAAGTAATCACTCATATATTTTAATTGGATCTATTATCATAAAAATCGTATTTTCCATGTACGTATGTATTCAGTATGCTAATGCGATTGTTCCAAGTTTCAGAAAATATTATCCTTTAAATGTTTTCCATTTCTTAAAGGATTATTCTTTTAAATTCTTAAAGTGTAATAATCATCTGATCAATGAGTTATTAAATAAGTTGTCAAATAAATTATCAAATGAAAGCTTACATTTATATAATCCTCATTTTTCATTGTTAAAGATGTTAAAAGATATTATATGTATTTTTTTTTTTTTTTTTATTACTAATGTTTCGTTTTCCTCATGTAATTGCGTTATCAGTTATTTAGTACAAAAACCAACTTAATTATATTATTTTATATTTTAAGTAAATATTTTATTTTTAAGTAAATCATTTAAAGTATTTATTTATATTATTATATTTATTTATTTATTTTTAACACTTAAAATAAATTAATACTGTATTTTATTATAGTTAATATTAACTATATATTAATTATATATTAAGTATAATATAATTTTTCTGATGGCGTTATATGCAGAGATGAAACTATATTAGGAATAATAAACTTACCAAAGTTATAAAAAGGTCATGTATTTGAATCTACTTTTCCACTTTGTTGTTAACAACCTTACTGTCTTTTAACCTATACTACATTGATCATTCCAAATAAGGTGCCAAAATATTTTTTGCGTATAAAAGGCGGCAAAACTTTATCTCTCAAAAATAAAATTTTTTTTACAAGAATTTTTTTTTGTTTATTAATATTTATAATATATTCACATTTTCAAAGCTTTCACAAGTTTTCATTCTTTTTTAAATTAATTCATAATAATAATAAAAGATGACTCAACAACAATCTCAATCATATTTTTTATGGTCGAAATCTAATACGAAACAAGTCAGTATAATATCGGATGTTGCAAATAATATTTTTGAGTATATACTACTTTTCTTAATGGCAATATTTGTTTCGCTATGTGGTTCACCATCAAGGTTTGTGTTAATCCTTTTGTTTTATTGTTTCAAATTTCCAGGATATTAATCTTATCGTTTATTAATTTTATTAATATTTTGTTTATTTTCTTTCTTTTCTTTCTTTTAATTTAATTCTTTAATTTATTTAATAGTGGTAAGACGTCTGGAGAACAATCAAGTATTCCTGTACATCAATTAATATTAGTTCCACATCAAAACAAACGGCTCTATTATCACTTCTTTAAGAAAGTAACAGGAAATGAAGACATTCTTGGTATACAAAGTAAAAAATATAATAAATCTCCTACACGTAAACACAAGAAACAACGTTCTTCTATCCAACATCATCCTGAAGGAGCAATCTATGCACAATAACCGTTTAATATTAAATTGTGGGCATCTTCCCCAAACCATTCATTTATTTTATACTTTAATTCCTCCAACGAACAAATGTTACCACACATTTACTTCGTTTATCCGTCAAATTTTACTTTCTTTAATTCCGAACAATTATAAATTTATAAACATTAATTTTTTGCAATATAATGTAGTATTAAAGGATAATTTTTAACAACAATTTCAACGGTTAATATCAACGATAATTTCAACGATTAATGTTAATGATTATATTTTATTATTATTATTTGAACTAAATATTGTAGATATATAAATATAATACTTTTTTTTTTTTTTTTTTTTAAATTTTCCTTTTATTAATTCTTTCGTTTTGAGAGAGAATTTAGATACGTTTCTTAATATTTTAGGATTGTATCAGTGGGAATGAATGATTTCTTATACAATACGAGAAAACTAGTTCAATTACTGCGTAACTTTTTATTATTTCTCTCTCAATTACATGTACAAACATTTTTATTTAGCACATTTTCATAAATTAATAGCATTTCAAACATATATTATTTTTTTTTAACGTTTAGTCCATAAAACCTTAAAAATTAAAAAAATTGGTAAACCTCAAATAAATAATAATAAAAATATTTTAAAATTTTAAAATACAATCTTATTATTTTTTTTTTGTTTAATGGTTTTCTTGAAAAGAAATAATTGTCATTATTTTTCATAACTTTAACCTTGTATATTGAATTTTAAACAATTTTATGTGAAGTAATGGTGACACGCATACATAATGTTTCAAATTTATGTTTATTTTTTATCTTGAAATTTATAATATCTAATATTATTTTTATGCAAACTATGATTAAAATATTTAAAAAATATTAAAGAACTTTAGAACAAAAGTCCTTTAACTGCATGCGGAATGCTATTCTCGCTTTACTAGTGCAATCCTTTAAGAAATAACTCTAGAATTAATCCACTTTTGGTACATTTGAATTTTATTGCAGATGTTAATAGAATAATGTTAAAAAATTAACACCTTCGGTGTAACGGTACTATTACGGTATTATTGAACCTACTCTCTATCAAAAAAAACTACGGAAGCCTTTATGCAAGTTCACGCGATTCAGGTAAATCTCTGGAAAATTACCATTCAGATAAAATTCATTCAAATACAACAATGTAGGGAATTACAAGCCGCATTTAATGTACCTACATTTTGAATTTGTCTTTCCTTTAATAACAATTATTATATTTCCAGCTTCTTGTTGGTTTTATCCATTGACAATCGCAGCTGTTATGCATCAATATCAATTAGATATATCATATTTTGACGCGACAACCCCAAAAACTTGTGTTGGTTCGCGTTATTAAATATCATACACGGAAAATTAATATCATGTGATTTGATTTTTTAATATAACTAAATTATATAAACATTTTACACAACTTACACAAATTGTTTTTTGCCCGAATTATATTTTTGTATTTTTAATTGTCTAACATTAACTAACAAAATATTTACAATCTTCATTTTTTGTGTAGCTAAGGGGAAGTCATTAAACTTTATCTTTTATTATTGCAAAAATTCCAACGAATAATCACTTAGTTAGCATGTGCTTGTTGTTTTTTAAAAAATTTTTATGGAATGTAAAAATGCAGAGAATGCAACGAATGCGCGTTTATATCGATCAATAATTAGTTTTTGATTGGTTTAATAATTATCTTCAAAGAATAATATAAATGTGAATAAATGTAATTGGTTCTTGAGTTTTTTCTTGTGTCAATATTTTATTTTTGTATATGTAATACTTGGTGCACGTGATAGTATCCCAGCCACTATCAAAAAATGATCTCAAGCCATTTTTACATTTTGAAATTTCGCGTATTGAACTCTGACATTAAAAATGTACTGTTTATACTAATGACTGTTTATACTAATCTGTATAATGCATAAATTATATAGAGTAGCCTAAATTATAATTGAGAAATTGTAGATCTTTTTAATCTCTGATCATCATCAGACACACAATGACACTATGCTAACCTTTTAAGTATAACTACTCCTTTATTTAACAAACCTCTAAACACAAGATGGATTTCTTAATTCATCTCTAAAAGCCATATTGTCATTTCCCGACAGTCTTATAGTTGGACATAATCAAGTTCAAATCAAGTAATTTCCAAATATTGTTTTCGTTTGTAGTGTGGAATTCGAGACTCATCACGTGATCATCACGAAAAGATCAAATATATATGCAAAATAATACACTTGAAATACAATTGAGTGAGATTTAACATTACATTAACAATAAGAGTTAATAACATTAACAAAATTGAATAACAATTGTAATTATAAACATTTCAGAATTAACATAAAAGTAAAGAAATCAAGAATTATTAGTATACTAAAATTATATATATATAAGGTTGTTTTTTTCATCCTTCTAACTTTATGATTTTCTTTAAAATATTTAATAATTCACATAGCAAATTCTTTTCTTTATATAAATAATTTTAACTTTTTGGTCTATTGTATATATTTTTTTAATCTTTCTTCAAGATATTATGACTTGCACAACTTGTGATCCTGAAATTTGTAAAAATTACATGTCTAAAAAGCAAAAAAAAAAGTATTTATCTAAGGAAGAGATTGGATTTTTAGTAACTCAAAAAAAAAATAAGGATTTCTGCTAATACCATTAGAGAAACTATTAAATGACACATTATCCAAATTTTTAATTCAAGATGCTACAGAGTATTATATACAAATAACTTTTAAAGCTTTTTCAATTACTTATATTAAATTGGTTTCAAATAATATAGAGTTAACCAAAATATCAAGGTTATAAAAAAAAAATATTGATGGTATTGATATATGTATCTTTTTTTATAAAGAATTAAAAGAGTTGATGAAAATAAATTATACTTATTGAACTTATTAAATTTGATCTACACATATTGAAAATTAGAGATCAAACAAATTTTAATACATATAATTAAAATAATACTTGCAACTAATTTTACAAGCCTTTAATATTGGATTTTTTTAAATATAGTTAATGTAAATCTACAATTCAATAGTTGTAAAATTTTGTTTAAAAATTTTATAGATTTAGAATCTCCAGATTCTTCTCTTCAAAATAATAGTTTTTTTTTAATGATTTTGGTAGAGTTAATTTAGAAAGAAGTTTATTGATATAAATTTAAAACAAAATTAAAAATAAAACTTTAAATCAATAATATTGATTTTTATATAATTAAACTTGAAATAACCTATTACAATTCTTTATAAAAGTTGTAACTTTTCTATTTCATTTATTCAAAACAAATATCTTAAAGTATTATTTGAATTTATATACTTGTAATTACATAACAAACTTGTATAATTGTCTTAATTGCAGAATCTGCATATAGCAACATGAATATAAATATTCTTGACATAATCTACAATTCATATTATTATTATATATTGTCTATTTGTAACATTTTTTATGTATTTATGACTTGTTTATAAGTTATTTACAAATTATTCTTATTTATTGTAAATATTCCTTGTTATACTTGTTAAAAATTACTTGTTTTTTTTTTCATTTGACTTGTATTAGATAAAGATAGTATCTGTAATTTTACAAATTTTTTTGAATGTAATTGTCATATAAATTTGAAATTCTACAATATACAAGTTGAGTAATTTTTTAATGAGTAGACAAGAAATATTCACAAATAGGCAAACAGACAAAAACAAACAAAATACAAGTTGTAAAAATTTGATTTTTTTTTTAATTTGTAATAGATGTAAATTTTATTTAAAAAATCTATCCCTTATTCTGTAAACTTTAGTAGACAAATTTATTTGCTTAAATATTATAAATTTGTCATTAATGTATTTTTTTAAATATTCAAGATATTTAAATAAAAAATTTTTTAATAATATTTAAAAATAAAGAAAATATTTTTGTAATATTTGTATTTAAATTAGACATGTGAAACAAATGCCAAGACTGCAGAATAAAGATGGAAATGCTGTACGAAAAACAAGTATTGATGGTATTATATCATAACTATAGATTATTATTAAAATAAATAATGATCTAATTTTTCATTTACAAATACATTTTTACAAAATAATACATTTACACAAAGTTATCTGTCAACTAACTTTTAAATAAGATCATTTAATTATCTATTTCATCAATGAATTCATCGACATTCTTAAATATCCAATTTCCGAATGTCATTGATCTCGGCCACCAACAGGTTATAGGTTTTGTGAAAACATGCATATGAACATGTGGTACTGTATTAAATGGTGGTGAAACAAATCCGATCCTATTTATTTATTTTATTTTTTTTAAATATAAAAAAATTAGATAAAAGTATAATAAGAATAGGAGATTTGAAATGAAAGAGATCACTCACAAGTATTCTGTCGAAGTAATCGAAGACTTCGATTCACCAAGTTTTTCGGAAATAATTCTTAATCCTATTTCTTTCATTTTTTTCACTTGTACATTTTTTTATTTTTTTTTTTTGAATTTTTTTATATGGATATAATTATTTTATAATTATGCGTTATTTTTTTTTTGAATATTTATTTATCTTTATTCGATTCTTTGGGATAAAAATAAAATCACAATACCCAACTCCACATCGTCTTTTTTAAATTCATTAATGTTTTTGATATGTTTTTTGGGAATTACAAGAAAATGATACTCTGCAGCTGGTGATATGTCATCGAATGCTACCACTGATTCGTCCTATTTGATTTTTTTTTTTTTCTTTTAAAACCATATAATTAAATGAAAAATTGAAAAATAAATTTACTTACGTTATAAAGTAATGTGGTAGATGGGTTATTTCCCGAAGCTATCTTACAAAATATACAATTTGATGCCATTTTTTTTGTTTTTTTTTTTATTTATATCGAATGTTATACATGGGAAAAAAATCAAAAAAAAAAAAGGTATTTATACTTTTATAGGATTTCATTTTGTCATATAAGCCACATGATAATTACATGATAATAATACACATGATAAGTAACGTATGATTTTGAATCCCACAAATTTTTATCCCCCAAATTTTATATAAATAGCACATGAATGATATTAAAAAAATTTTCATACTTACCTGCCAGGACACGACCGCGATCGAGAAGGTGGTTGTGTAAGTGGTGGTCGTTGACATTGCACTTTTGTTGATGGCCGTTGCTTTGAACGTCCTCAAATGGATGTCTCAACTGGATAATTTTTGGTTGTCGGGGTGGCTCGTGGTTCGCCGCGGGTGTTGCCCCTTTTTTTATTATAATTTTAGCGAAAGAGATTTTAGGGGTGGGGTTTTAAAATAAAATTTATTTCTGATAAATGCAAGATGTAATAAGTGGCATTAAACATTATTTAAGAGGATTAAGTTCTCGTCAAATCTTTCCTTTTTTAATCTTATATTTAAATGTTTCTAATCGATTAAAGATTAGAACAGATAATGAAAAATAATAAAAAAAATAAAATAGGATTATTCAAATCCTTAATTTGTAATTGGATCAACTCGAGATTTATAAAGATATAAAAAAACTCGGTACTTTATAATCTGTTATATTAATTACCTTCCGAGCTTTAAGTGTTTAGCATAATATTTTACTGCCTAACCAATTATTTATTTATTCTAATTCTCAAATACAGTTGTTTTATTCTATTTTTGTTACTCTTTTTTTTTTTTAGTTAGTTTAAGTACCAAAGAATAAACATTAATATTAGTAAGCAAAAGTGGATTGAATATCTACTTTATTAACATCACGACTATAGGAAATTGTGTAACCTATCATTTTTTAAATTCTTAAAAATGCGTGTATGTCAATACTTTAAAATTATATGAAACAATGCCCTTTGTTTTTCTTGATTTCTTTCTCGGATAGCTTAATTTCTTATCAATTATTCGGGTTCTTGTTTCAAGGGTAATATTTTTATAATCATTGTTTTTTTTTCTTTGTTATCAATTGAATTTCTCTTTTTAAGGTTTGTGTTGCCCAATCAGAGTCTTTTTTTGTTTTAAAAAAATTGTTTTATTCATTCACAACAATAATTTATAATCTTGTTAAAATAATTATTAATTTCTAAATTTAATCCATTCCCCAGTTAATTTATTAATTTTATTTAATTATACAATGCAATATTTCTAAAATTAAAATATTTAAATTTTTTTTTCAAAAATTAAAATGCAATAAATAAATAAACTTTACATTCAAGGACATCAGTAATACAACATATAACAAATATGATTAAAACTTGAATGTAAAAAAATGTAAAATATGTAAAATAAAAGTATAACAAAAAAGTTTAAAATTAACAAATGTGTATTGTTTTAATTTCTAAGAACTAATAATAAAGTATAATGAAGTTACACAACACAGTAACTATAAACAAAAGGGAGTTTAAATCCAGTTTGATACGTATATAACTATATTTGCGAGTTTAATTGTAAAAGATATAAATAAAACTTACAAAAAAGTTACAAAAAGTTACAAAAAAGTTAAAAAAAAGTAACGAAAATGATTTACCATTGAAAATTCTTTTTTAAATCTCCTCATTTTTTGTTCTTTTTTATTCCCATCATCAAACCAAAAATAGAGTTGTGTGATGACAATCTATATAATCTATTACAATAAATACAATTTACACGCAACACATTCGCACACACACACACACACACACATAACACACACACAATACAACACACACACAACACCCACAACACACTATCGATAAACAATTCATATTATAAATTATTAATGATGAAGTAAAATGTTCAAGAGATATTTATTTATTCTTTAATAATCAAAATAGGGTTAAAAAATTATTAAATGATTTAAATGGATTAAATAGATTAATAGATTAAATGATTTAAATGGATTAAATAATGATAAGTTCGTATCTTCCATTTCATTTCATTTTATGAGTTGAAAAAAGAAAAAAGAAGAATTTATTATATTATTTAAAATGAATGACGACAATAAACAATATAAACAACAAAAAACAATATTTATTAAATTTTATTTTGTATAAAAATAAGAATAAAATTATATTATACATTGCGCCCACATCACCAAATGTGCACCCATATCCGTTGGTACGCCATTTCATTATATAGTGATAATGTGATCGAGTTAAAAAGATATGAATAAATGTAGATATGTAACATGATAAAATCCATATTTTATATAACAAATGACTCACAATTCTCTTACTACCTTTTTTATTTATTTATATTTCACATTTTAATGTAATTTAAAGTATTTCTGTGTAGTATATTTAGAATTGTGAAACATTTATCAACGTTCCTTCTAATATTTTTTTATAAAGAAAAAGTAAAAGGATTGTGTGTAAATGTATCATGATGATGATGATGATGATAAATAATAATAATAATAAATAATAATAATAATAATAATAATAATATTTATTATTATTATTATATTATATTATATTTATTTATGATTATATTTTTTTTTTATTATGATTATATTTATTATTATATATTTATTATTATATATTTATTATTATATATTTATTATTATATTATCATATTTTAATATTATTCTAATTTCTATTCTAATTATAACTAAAGTGGTAATACTGTGTGTGTGTGTGTGTACCAGTTATTACAAGAAAGCAGCCCATTTTATATTATTCTATATTCTTCTTTATTATTCTATGAAGAAATTCATTTCCATTATATTATATATATTTATAATATTTATATATATTTATATTATTAAATTATTTTATATATATTTTTTATACATAAACATATTTTATATTAGATTTTTTAGATTATTATTTTTTTTTTTTTTAAATCATTATTTTAAAAAGAAAAAATCATTTAAAACTTTTACTTGTCTTTTTTTTTTGTAACACCGCACTTGTTCTCCCTTTTTTATTACCCCTCGTCGTCATCACCATAAATAATTTTTTGTTTAAAAGCTTTATTCTTATTCTCAACTGTTCTTCCTCCCTTTTATTCTCTTGTCTCATCTAAAAACTCTGAAAAGCACTACGACTTAAAGTCGGATCTCATATTATTTTTCTATTTTTTTTTTTTTTTCACTTTTCACTGCAAAACCGTAGAGAATATATTTTATTATCAAGTAACACCAACGGCTATTCTCAACTGAGGCAACTTTAACACTAACCGTCCCTGGATTCTTTTCATCCCAAAAACTGAAATCATTACTTCCTTTCGCAGTGCCTCGTATTGTACGTTTTTTTCTATATAAATACTACCTCCTCATTTTTTGAGTCGTTCGTTAGCTCACTACTTTCTATTATTATTATTATTATATTAAATAAATTTTCCCAATATCCTTTTTTTTTTAACCTATTAAAATCCATTTTTATCTATTTTTTTTTTTTTGACTATCATGTCTGGTCGTCCCTTATCATTTTTATATTCTACAGTTCACCTCGCAACTATATAATATCACCTTTAAAAAAAAAAATTTATTAAAAATTATTAGCATATTTTCATCTATATTTTTTTTGCATTGTTTACCATTTACAAAGAGACATTTTTACACTTAATAAATATATATATATAAAAAAAAGGACAATGAATAATTTTATATCCTCTGTACCTTCTATAAAACCTTCTTTCTCTGCTCCTGTGGTGCAGAGCAGGCTCGAACACCACCATTTACAACAACTTCTATCAAAGCCACAGAAAATAGATACAAGACAACAACAACAACAACAACATCATCATCAAAGGTCAAAATCAATAAAATCTAAGCGTGGCCCCTCCAAAGATACTCCTGTGGTTTCCGTTTCCCCTAATGACGTTTCTAAAGCCTCAAACATCTCTCGTTCAAATAATTATTCAAATAATTATAGTTTTAATTCTTCAAAACTTAGAGAACCCAATTCATTCAATGGTATTAATACATGTGAATCGTTCGATAGCAAAAAACAAAGATCTGGCGATAGACGTTTAAGAAGACACGCTTATAGTGACTCGGTCGACGAAGATAAATTCAGGAATGTTGCTCCTATTACTATATTAAAAAGACCTCAATCTGCTACCGACTTTGTAAAGAAACCAACCAGTGGTATCGTTTCTTCTAGAAAAAATTCCTTAAATTCAACTCCCGAGAGAAACGAATATTCTCTTTCTTCCACCACAACTACCACCGCCACCACCACCACTCCGGATGTTAAAGAACGTCGACGTTCTGATGTCACTTCTTCCAAGGTTAATAGGGTTCAACAACGTAGGGAAGTAAAATCCACGAATGAACTTTTATCAGTCGATACCGACGTTTCTCAAGGTGTCAACTCAACTACTACGACTACGACTCCTAATAAACTTCAACCAGATTCTTCTATTGATGAATCTGATGTAAATATTATTTTTAATTCTAATTTGAAATCAGTTTATGATTCGCCAAGTAAGAATTCTACTGGTTTATTGGTGACTCCTCCATCTCCTTTAAACAACAACTCCTTTGTTTTTCCCCTTCTAAATTACTCTAATGCGATTATTGCTCTTGAAGAAGAAATGAGTAATCAAAATGATAAGAGAAGGTAAGAATTATTAATTAATTAATTATTTATTAATTTATTAATTTTATTTATTTATTTAATTTATTAATTTATTAATTTTATTTATTTATTTAATTTATTTATTTATTAATTTAATTTAATTTAATTATTTTTGTTTTAGTTTCGATGTTATAATCCCTCCCAAAACCATGTCTCGTCGTACTTCTAGTTCGGCAGTTGAATTGCAAAAGGTTACTTCTGCTTTTGCAATTGACGATGCTATTAACGAGCATGACCATTTATCATTACCTTCATTATCTAGTTCTTCTTCTTCACCTCCTTCACCTTCTCTTAATAAACTTAAGTCCTCCCCAAAACTTTACGCTGGTCCAACTTTTCATAACTCACCTCCTGCTAGTGATTTGCCCATTCCTTCTTTTCTTAGTAAATCATCTTCTACCAGAGAATCTAGTCCTGTATCATCAAATTCGACTTCTGTACCTTCCAGAGTTTCTTCTCCATCTTTATCTTCCGAAAATTCTTCTGACGAAGATATTTCCATGGATGAATCCGAACCTTATCTTAAAAGACAAAACTCTCAACTTCTTAATATGTTATCATCTCATCCCAACAATTCTCATAATTCTGCTGCGGCATATATGGTCCCCGAACGTATGGCAACATCTCATAACCCTATGCAAGTTTACCCTGCACCAAACGGAATGTTAAATGAACTTTCGGAATGTTTAAGAAGTCTATTAAAGATTCATGGGCAATAATCATAATGATGATAATAATAATAATAATAATAATAATGAAGATGATAAAAATTATATGTGCAAGTTGTATTTAGAATTAGTAGTATATTTAGAGGAGGGAATATATTTGTTGTTCTTAATTCGTTATTTGGCGAATCAAAACTGAATTCCTTTTTTTTTAATAGTAATTTGGTGGCTATCAATATATATTAACATATATTTTCAATATAAAAAAAAAAAAAAAGTTAATTGCATTTTTTTTTGTTTCTAGACGTTTGGCACTCCCCTCTTGTGATTATATTTCTTTCGATTTTTTTCTTTTTGCATTTCCCCTTTTATTTTTCTGCACCTGTACATTTTTTGTTGCAAATTCTTTTCTTTTTTTTTTCTCTGTTATAATATTTCATTTTCTGCTTTATTACAACCACCCTAATAACAACCCACCATATTTTCACCCCCCCCTTTCTTACTCTTTTTTCCTTTTTGTTTATTTTGCATAGACATATTTCTTCTGATCTTTTCCTAGTATTGTATAGATCTTTTCCTTTTATATATATATATATTTCGCCATTTGGACAATTTTGGTGGAAGTTTTTCCAACATTTATTATTTGCATTTTACCACTATACAAAAAAGTGCCATTTCGTCTTATCATTCATAATTCATTATAATATTTCACAAACTTAATTTCTACTTCACCCTCCCCCAAAAATGGACACTTTAAATAATATATTCTCATGTTGGTCTTGTTCTATTATAGAAATTGCATTCTTCCAATTCTTAATGGGAAAGATTTTATTTGTAAATATGTTCTTAAGTTAGTCTTATTATTATTTCATATTTAATTTTCTCTTTTTTTTTTTTTAGATTTATTATTTTTTTTTTAAACTCTTCCCCTTTATCCCTTCCCCTTTCGTTTGTACATTTTGTATGAATTCCCACCTTTTTTTTCTTTCATGTTATTATTATTTTTTTTTTTAAAAAAAAGAAATATGTAACAATTTCCCAATCTTTATTTGATTTGAATTGTGGAAATCCTTGTTATGTAATTTTTTTCTATATCTGTTTTTTTGTTAATTAGTACTAACCTTAGATGGGGACTAATTCCTATGGTGGGTTCTATTCTTTTATCTTTTTTTTACACTCAAAAGTAATCTCTTTTTTTTTTAAAAAAAACAAACAAAAGATTATGATTAATCGTTGGTCCCACTTTTTTTTTGATACGATAGTATGGGGGTGCAGTGTTTGATAAATTTTTTTCTCGAGTAGTTTTCTTTTGGTTTGTACGACGATGCGTCGCAAACTCTATTATACTAATAATAATAATAATAATTATAATTAATAATAATTTTTTGTAAAGTGTAAACGGACAACATTCATTCATTCATTTCGTTTGATTGTTAGTCTGTAGATCCATCCTTTTTTTTTTTATTATTGGTTCCTTTAATAATTATTATTCTTACCTTAACGCACAAAGTTCTGTTCTTTTTTCTATGGTTCCTTTTTTTTTATAGTTCTCATTTTTAAGTGTGTAGTTTCGTTTCCTGAATTTATTTTTTTTTTCCTAGTCAAACTATTTTTTGTTACCATCTACAATTGCTGCCAAAGAAATCAATTTTTTCTTCTTTACAAGCGCAGAAAATTCAAGCAAATCAATTTGATCTCATTTTCTTTTTTCAATTATAATATTCTTTCAAATGTCCCTTTAAATTTTAAAATAAGCACAGAAAAAAAATTTAGTAGTGTTAGAAATTTTTTTAAAAATTATGAGGTTCTTCTCATAATATGAATGAATGATGCGAGAATAAAATGAAAAAAGATTATTTTTAAAGATCCTTAAACTTTTTTTTATTTTTGTTAATTTTTTTTTTTGTCTGAATAATGAATTTCTTTTTTCGGACACCTTTTCTCTTGTACGAGTGGGATTATTAAACCCAATTGTTAGTTGTCTTTATTGTTCTACTATTCTCATTCATATTCTCTCTCACCTCTCCCCCGTAAATTTCTTTTTCTTTTGTAAATATTTCAAAAGTACCTTATACAGTAATTATTTAATAATTAATTTTACTATTAATTATGTACTTAATTTTGTATTTAATATAGAGTAGAGAAAAAAAAAAGACAATTTTTAATGAAAAATTTTCACGAAAAAAGTGAATAAAATTTCCTAGGTTCTCGAAATTCTAATAATATTTATTCTTTACGTGAAAAAGTTTGAAATGTTGTACGCGCGTTTTACGTAACATTTTTTATTTCTGATTTTGTAATGTGATTGGATCGCTGATCTCTTACATGATAGATCAGATATAAAATGACCTCCTTTTTTTTCTTCATACTTTACATCATTCTTTCCCTTTTAGGAGGGAGGGAAGGAACGCTGCACACTCTCCTTTGGTCTCTCGTGCGTGCTTCTCCCTCAAATACTAATCTATCCATAGATTTTTTTTTTTTTTTTTTAAAAAAAAAAACAACAGAGCCTCGTTCCGATACGTTGTAAAATTGTTACATGAAGAAACCTATTAAACATAGAAGAGCTTGCTAAAAACTCAGTATACTGATTAGCCAAGGATCCGTCAGATACCCACGGATACCCACAGATAGGTTAACTTTTTAATATAGTTAACCAAGGTTAGAAGGATCATCTACATAGGCCAATTTTATAATTTTGGTCAATGGTTGGCACCTGAGGTGCCTCAGTCGCGATCTGAGGTACAACAATAATATCTTTTCATATGAACAATGAGAACTTACTCTTGTACAATTTTTTTTTTAAAAAAAACGATAATAACGTAATAAATAAAGAAGAAATTTATTTTTTCTTTCTATATAATTTATTATTATCATTATAATTATTAAGTTATATATAAGTATAGATCTCTATCATGTGGCACATCATAATACAGTAATTAACTCATCAGCAGCCTTTATATATTCTTTTCCACATAAAGCCTCTGAAGTAATATAGGGTAATACACCAAAGATATTTCTATTATTAGAATTTTCTAGACTTTGTTCGGATCAATCAAACCAAATAAAAATTGACTTAATCAAATAATTATTACAAAGGGAAACTCGATAAGTCGACTAATGTTGGTCAACTATTCTATTATTACACTAATCTCAATAAGTCGGTCAGCTGCCAGTGGTCGACTTATCAAGTTTGCCCATGTAATTAATTAATTAATTAAAATCGATTAAATCAATCAATTAAATATTTTTTCCCTCCCCCCCAAAAATTTTTTTGATAAAATCATTAAAAAAGAAGAATAATTTTTAATATAAATATATAGATATAATAGATAAATATATATATTTATAAATATGTCTATTTTATGATCCAACGTAACACATATTTAAATTATGAATTTCTTTAGCTAACCAAGTCCAACTAATTCCCATTCTACCTGTTAATTTTTGTTCATATTGTAATAATTCATACATAAATTTTAAATTTGGTTGAATAACAACATTAAGACGTCTAGCTCTAACAAATAAATATGAAGATACCAATGATCTACCTAAATATCTCATAATATAAGCAATTGTAATAGTGGCAGATCGAGAAACTCCTACTCGACAATGGATTAATACAATTCCACTTGCTGCACGTGCAGCTTCTACAATAAAAAAAATATTAATATTATAATAATAATAATAATCATAATAATCATAATAAGTATATTAATGGTAATTAAAAAAAAAAAAAACTTACCAATAAAATTAACGCATGAATCTAAATAATTCCATAAACTATCAATTCCATCATCATATAAATTATCCAAGGATTTTACTACAAATCTACTTCTATCTAATTTAGATTCTTCTCCCACCGATAACACGTGACTGATACCTAAAGCTTCCAACATACCAGCATTACAAGCATGATTTAAATTTCCTAAATATAAGAAAGGTAATATTCTACTAGGAAAACTTCCTTCAAAATTTGGTGAAGTAAACCATGAATATTTTTCTTCATTATAATATTCAAAATATTCATAATCGTCAATATCTATCTTTGTCGTATTATGATTATGACTATTATTATGATTAATATTATTATTACTATTAATATGATTAATATTATCATTATAATCATCATGATTATGATTATTAGGTGAACGGCCATAATGATTATTTTGATGTTCGTCGTTATTATTATCATTATTATGATTATTTAGTTGGTGTTCGTCATTGTCATTACTATTATTATTATTATTATTTTGTTGTTGGCGTTGTTCGTTATCAACGTCGTCGTCATTATCATCATCATTATTATTATAATTATTTTTTTGATGTTCGTTATCATCTTTACTATTATTATTATTATTTTTATTATCATCATCATTATTGTTAGTATTGTTATTGTTATTATTGTTATTATTATTATTATTATTATTATTATTTTGTTGTAGATTATCATTAAATTCAATTAAACGATTATGTAAAATTATTTTCCTTTCCCATATTCGTCTTTCAATTTCAAATAAAGTAGTTGAATCATGTTGATATACGAAAAAACTACGAGTTTCTTGTAATTTGAGGTAAGCTTCAGGAAGTTTTAAATTTTCATTAAACATTAAATAAGTTAATGCCAAAAGTGATGTTTCTGTATATCCATCTGCACAATGAATTAAAATTTTATGATTACAATTGTTTGCTTGGTTTGAAATGAATTCACAAAGATCTAATAATTTTGTAATTATTATATCGAATGTTTCTACTTTTTCATTATTATTATTATTGTTGTTGTTGTTGTTGTTGTTGTTGTTATTGTTGCTATTATTATTATTATTATTATTATTATTATTATTATTATTATTATTATTATTATTATTATTATTATTATCATCATCATTATTGTCGTTGTTACAATTATTATGATTACTACTGATATTAATGTTACTGGTAACTCTTGATGATATACAATCTAAATGTATTATATCATCGGTCGTAAAAGATTTAGATAAAAGAGAAAGTTGTCCTGCTGCAAAACAAAGTGTTGTTTCATCTGGCATTTCTGCTAAATCATGTGATTCAATACATACGCAGAATTGATGTGGATTATCATCAATTAGTGAAATAGCCGAATCAGCAGGATCAAGATCGCTTGATATAGGAACATCTTGAGTATTACCCAACTAAATCAAGAAAGATGATTTATATCATAAAAATATATAATAAATCTGTTTAATTATTCATTTTTTTTTGTTTGTTTGTTTAATTAACAAAAAATAGTAATATAGCAACATAGCAATATAGTAATATATAATAATAATAATCTCTATATTTACAAAACAAGAAATGGGGATCGCGTATTTATAAATCCATGATCCATAAAATTATTTACCCAAACGTTTGTTGATATTTCTGAAGCTGAAGTCAATATCTTCATTTCTTCTCGTTCTCGATCCAGAAAATTGATTTTATTACGTATGACTCCTTTACTATCGATCGAAACAAGTTCCGGATATTCTTCTTCAAAATAAGAAAATGGATCTAAAATAAGAAGTATTTAAAGTGTATACATATATATTAAAGTGTATATATGTACATATTAAAGCATTCAATTATTAATAATCACTTATTGTTAATTATTATAATCACTTATTGTCACTTATTATCACTTATTATCAATATTATCACTTATTATCAATTATTATTATCAATTATTATTATAATAGATTAATTCATTATTTCTACTTACCTACAATCACAAATACTTCATATTCCATTAAATTAGGTTTATCCTTTCTAAAAAGTTTTTGAGCCCAAGCAATTTGTTTTGCAACTTCCATTACATTATCATCTACTCCATTTTCACCATATACAAAGATATCTGAAAGTGTAGCATATTTTGCTACCTGAATTTTAAAATTTCTTAAATTAATACCTGAACCTTCTGGATGAATCAAAAATCCTTTTACTAAAGATAATTTAATATCTTTATCTTTATTATTAAAATTATTATTATTATTAAAATTATTATTATTATTATTATTATTATTATTATTATTTCTATCTTCTTCCTCTTCCTCTTCATCATCATCATCATCATCATTATCATCATCATCATAAAAATCATCATTGTCATTAGTAATAGCAGCAAGTATAGAAGAAAGAATACGACGGTGACGACCATTATTATTGTTGTTGTTGTTGTTGTCGTTGTTGTTGTTGTTGTTGTTGTTGGTAGAAGATGAAGAAATAGAAGGTATGGGAGATAATATATCATTAGGATAAACAGAATTAACTAATTGACATTTTTTACTTCCTTCTTCAGCTTGAACTACTGTAACTCCTCGATGTTCAGGTATAGAACAATGTCTTATACCGAAAAATGTATTTTGATGATAATTATTTCCATCAACACCATGTAACCAAGGAAATAATATATGATTTGGTAAAGGAGTTGAATAATAAGTTTCATGAATAAGATAATATTGAGCTGCTGTTAAAGCTCTAATAGGTGGATTTTCACAAATAAGAGGAAAAGTATCTAAACCTGTCATTGGTGAAGAAGGTGATGGTGATGGTGATTGAGAGTGTGTTGGAGTTCTTGATGATGTAGAAGTTGTAGATGGCGAACTTATAGTAGCAGGTGAAGAAGGTATTGAGGATGGTAATATTTGTGGTGAAGAAAAGGGTCCAATGTGTTGTTCAACTTCAGTCATATTGTTGAGTTTCTATATTCTTGTAATGAATTTTTTTTTTTGCAAGTTCGTTATCGAAAACACTAAATAATAAAATATAATTCTCTTAATTTATGATATATGTAATTTGAAGAATTTATTATAATTTGTTATAAATGTTTTATTAATAATATTTTAATTCTTTTGTTCGTTTTCTATTTCATTCGCTCGTTCGTCCGTCCGTCCGTTCGTTTGTTCGTTTATTTCAATTGTTTTAAATAAAGTTTTCGAATACAATACTTTATGGAACCAACCAAAATGTAAATATTTATACTAAAGAAATAAAAAGAGTTTAGGTTCGCACTACGACTTTTTCAGAAAAATGGGAAAAAAAACGGATGTTGATGTGGTAGAAAGGGTTTACCAAAAAAAAAAATTCATGTATAACATGACCGACCCTCGTGAGCACTTATTTTTATAAGAGTTCCTATATAATACATACAATGTAATATATACAATGTAGAATATAATGTGATGTACAGAACAGATATAGAATATGCATGAAAACATGTGATGTGTTCTATTTAATTCCATTTGTTCCATTTGTTCCTTTTAATTCTGTCGAGTTTTTTTTTAATGATAAATAATGCATATCTAATTTTTTCCCTTTTTAGTATTGCATTTGAATGTATAGATGCAAAGAAAATAACAATGATAATTATTTATTTTAATTTAATTATTTTATTTTAATTTAATTATTTTATTTTAATTTCAAATTTGAAATGAATTCATTCTTCCAAAATATAAAATATAAAAAATGGGGTATTATAATATTTATAATATACAAATATAAAAAAATTAATTGCTGATCCTAATACCATTTGTCGATCATTTATAACAAAATTCGGGGGTAAATTTATATATAGCTTTGTCATCTGACGCGCGCGTATTAGGTAAGTATATTTTTATAATACTTTTGATGTAAACTATATTAAATAACTTAACCCCAATTTTCTATATGTAAATAGTGCTTGAACCAAATGACATATAAAATGATATATAAAAAATAAACAAATATGCATTAATTTAAAAATATAAACCCTAATATACATTTTTTACCTAATCTAGAAAACATTCATCCGTCTAGCGAAAATATATCCAGATATTACAAATAACACAAATGATACGCTAATAACGTTAATAATAATAATAATAATAATAATAATAATAGAAATGAAAGTAAATTTTATTAGCAAAATCATTAATAAATACATTATGTATAAGAAATAATAATAATAATAATAATAATAATAATAATAATAACTTACCAAATGCCAATAAAATATTTATAATCTTCATCATCTTGACCAGGTACATGAACATTCATACCAAATAAACCTACAAAATGTAATATATATATAAAAACAATATACTGTTAAAGTATTTTAGAATGATAATAAAAATTACTTATAAATATAAATAAATGATTACCCGTGACAACATTTAATGGAAGTAAAATAGAAGCAAACATTGTTAATTTATTTATGATATCATTAGTTTGATTGCTTAATTGTGTAATCTCTACTGATATTTGTGCAAGATAATTAGAGTGTGCACGCGATAATATTTTCTCATAGTGATTAAGATTCTGCAACATCGTAATTATATGATCTGTAAATTTAAGTTAAATTTCAATGTATAAAATTTATAAATTAAACGTATAAGTTAATGAAATTTATGTTAAATTGTTTTTTAAATTAAATGAATAAATTACCTTGGATATCTCCTAAATAAAGATTCACGTCACCTGGACCACTTTTTTCACAACCAGTAACCACCAATCTTTCTTCACTTCGTTTAATTAATGCTTTTATCACATCAGCTTTGGGTTGTAACATTCTTAATAATGACACTACCATTTTACGACATAATCCTATTCTCACTAACATATCTTGTTGTTCGGATTTTTTAAGCACCAATACCAATTGATCGATTGCATCGGATTCAAATTCTACCTTACGAATTAATGGTGCAAATGAATCTGTAATTTCATCAATTATAGCATAATTGATCCAATCTAAATAATATATATAAAAGAAACGTGTTGAATAAAATATTTCAAATATTTCATTATATTATTTTCATTTTTATCTAATATGATTAGTAAAGAAAAATTTCGTGATTTTATATATAATTTCATTTTACCTGGTGTGACTGTTATAAAATCTTTTAATTGTCGTATTCTGTTTCGAACGTTAAGTTGATGTGGTGTTTGTTGAAAATGAAACTAAATAGTAAATAAAATAATAAATAAAGTAATGAATAAATAAAATAGTGAATAAAGTTATGAATAAAAATATTCAAATAACTTTTAGGTATTAATTTAATTTTACCGATAATATTCCTTCTCTCATGATAATATTATACATATTCACAGTTTCAATTTCTCCTGGTTGATAATCAATTTGATCATATGTCCCGAAACTAATAAAATAATAATTTTTAAAAAGTTCACATTTTTCTCGGGTTTCCTCGGTTTCAATATCTTCCACAGTCAATGGATGAATTTGAAAAATCTAAAAATATTTTAATATTGATAATATATTTTAGGTAAATATTAAATATTAATTATTATTATTATTATTATTATTATTATATTGGATAAATAAATAAAGATAAAATTATGTTAGATAAATAAAGAAAAAATTACATTTTTCGCACCTTACTTAACATTCTCATTTCAGATTCTGTTGGTGCCAACACATCAATCCAAAAATATCCTTTCTTTAATAATTCGGACATCGTTGTACCTTTGGAAGAAACATTTCCGATTTTATCAGGTAAATTTTTCACTATATCTGTAAATGTTTTTGCCCTAATCGTTCCTATCAGACTTGAATAAAATATATATCTATATTCCTCGGTAATTTCTGCTGACTATATATCGTGATTGAATGATTCACGAGATAAATAAATATAAATAAATAAATAAATAAATAAATATATATATATATATTAATTAATTATAATAAATACCTTTGTTCGTTCACTAAATTGACTAACTCTTCTAGTTAATGGGTTGCCGGAGGAAGGGGATAGAAGAGACAAACATTGACTTTCTTCTTTCTCGGTAGAATTTATTTCACTCGTATATTTTTCCAACTCATCATAATCAATTCCTTCGTGTTTATTATTGGTTTTTATAGGAAAGCAAACGTCTTCTTCTGCCATAGAAAATTTTCGCGTTAAATTATATTCCATCTGTTCATTATTCCATTCAGGTTTAGGATCGGTTGAAATTTGAATCACACAATTTGTAGAGGTTTGTTTCGGACTTAAATTGTCGAGATTCTGTTGAAGTATCTCATTTTCTTGACCTATATTTGTAGGTGTAACCTTTTCACTATTTTGAACCAGTTCCTCGATTATTTTATTATCTCCAGATGACATTGTTTCAAATTAGATATTTTAATGAACAAATTATTTTTAAATACAGGATTAACTATAACTGATAATTGTAAGATTTCCTCTATTAAAAGTTATTCGCGAAAATTTTAGCCGATTCGGTAGCAGTTTAAATGTATCGACAGAGAAAGTTCCCATTTATTTTTTTTTTTTATGCTAAAATATTTTTAGAGAATTATTAGGTGTTAATTTTATTTATTTATATTATTATATTTATTGTATTTATTATAAAATGTGCTGCCCGACGTGTTAATATTAATCCAATGAAATCAATGAAATATAATATTCATGTGATAAATTAAACTTAAATTCATGGGTAAATTTATCCTAGACCCGGATCTACATACCTAAGTCTAGACCCGAGTCTATTTTGACACTCTAAATTCATCAAATGAACCATGATTGTTTGTTTGATTGGTTGATTGATTGGTTTGGAATGTGCTTTAGTATTTACAAATCAAAAATTCCAAGTTTCGTATGTGTTCGTTGAAATAAATACAATATATTCATTTTTCTACTTATTCTAATCTTCTTCCATTCGATCCCCACTTTGTTCTTCATTATCATCACGATGTTCCCCGTGATGTCTAGAAGCTTGTTCTTGAAGTGCCCGAAGAAAAGCTTCAACACCTAAAATAATAAACATTCACATCATCAGATCTACAATTAATAATTAATCACAATATTACAAGTGTATTAAAAAATAAATAATTACCGTTACCGGCTGACGGGTCTAAACCTAATTGATTAAGAAAAGTACTTAATTGACCCGATTGTAAAGCAATATTTAAAGATTGTAATGCCTAAAATAATAATATCACAATCTTCTAAGTTATTTCACACTAAATATATATGTCAAAATAATGCTCAAATTTATTATAAATACCTGAGCAAACTGTGGGCTTTGAATTAATTCTTCGGGTGTTCGATTGACATCAGAGGGTAGATTTGGGAACAAAGCTATAATCAATCCCAAAAAAAAGTAAATCCAAAAGTAAAAATCAGAAAAATAATATAACATGAATAAAATGTAAATTTTACCAGATGCAATCTCGGGATCGTTCAATAATGGGCCAATTATAGAAGGATTAAGAACGTTTGTTAAATTCACATCTAAAAATTTGACAAGAAAAACAATAAATTTAGAAAATCACAACATCAGATACAAATAAATAAAATCTATTATTTACCTGTCTGACTAGTTCCTTCTTCTGAATAAGGATAAGATTAAATATTAATAATTAAATACCCATTACAATAGTTAATGTTAATCACCATCAAAAAAAAAAAAAAAAAAAAAAAATATTCACCAGGCAATTGTACTCCTGACAAGATATTCTTTAAATTATTCAATTGTTCAGAAGTTAAGAGATGTTCAGATGTTTGTGCACCAGAACCTGCTTCAGATGTTGCGGCTGTAGCAGATTGTGGTTCACTAGCTGGAGTGGTTGATGGAATTGGGAGATTACTATTAAATTGATAGTTTAAATTGATAGTTTAATTGATAGTTTAAATTGATAGTAGTTTAAATTGATAGTAATTTAAATTGATAGCAGTTTAAATTGATAGTAATTTAAATCGATAGTTTAAATTAATAGTTTAAATTTAAAGTTTAAACCCAGTTTAATTTTGAAGTTTAAACTCAGTTTAATTTTGAAGTTTACAGAAATTGATTTAATAATATATATATATATATATATTTATTAAATAATAATATTTACCCAAATGCACCGTGACCTCGGAGAAGTTGCAATAATTGTTCTTGATCCATATTGAATCCGGCCAAATCATCCATTGAACGGAATGAACTACCCAATTGGCTTGAACTACTACCACCTTGATGCTGCCTACTTTCGGCTAATCCACCTTGTGGATCATTAAGTAATCGATTCACTTTATTAGCGTTTTCTTCATCTTTATCATCTTTAGCATCTTGCATCCAAAAGAATAACTTTTGATTTGATGATTTGAAATGAAGTAAATATACGCGTCCAGTGGTGCATTGTTCTACCCGGGTAAATTCAGCTTCGTCTGGAAAAACTATCAACTATTATTTTTATAAAAATTTGTTAAGAAAATAATTTTAAGAAAAAGCATTTAATATATTTAATATACATGCATCGTCTAATTTTCCTGTTTTCCTGTCTTTCCAGTAGAAATGCATTAGTTGGTCTTCCCCCTAAAAAAAATTTATGAAATTTTTTTTTTAGCAATAGCAAAGATTTTATTTATTTTTTTTTTATAAAGAAATATTATACCTGATCCATATAGATTAACCTTTAACGCGTGACAAAAAGCATGTTATTAAAATGTCGAAATATTATTTTTCCCTTACATAAAGAAAAGGGTTATAAATATCAACTTACCCCTTCCTTTCATCGGCTTTTAACATGTTTTCCTCTCTTATAAGTTTACCGGCTTTAAATTCCACCGGGTATTTACGTCGAGGTACCGGTGTGGGAAATAAAGAAGTCGACATCGCTGTAAATTAAACTTACTAAAAAAAGCGAAAAGTAATGCTCTTCTTATTCAACTATCTTGTAATAAATTTATTTAGGGAAATGACAAAATTTTTTGGACATATTAAGTAATTATGATAATAGTGTAATATTTGTATCATTTTCATCCATAATTACCATTTTAAGAATTCATTGTATATTGTTCATTAATAATACAATTTTTAACTCTTTCTTTTCCCATATGTTAAAATACAAAAATAAAAAATTCAAGTATTATTCTAGATACAAAGGGAGAAAATATATTTATGGTTAGTTTCACATAACAAGTTTTTCCAAAGAAATTTTTAAAGAATTATTTAAAAAAAAAATAATAGTAAATTTTTTTGGAGATTTATGATTTCCAATTTTGGGACTTTCTACAAGTGCAAAAAAATTTCAAATGTTATTCTCATCAAAAGATTTATCTCATTAAGAATTTGACATCATCCTGATTTTTTTTGAACCAAAAATAACTTTTCAATTCAATTTTTGGGGGAATTTTTATCATTTGACCATTGGGACCTTTAAAAAAATGTGACATTTGAAAAATAATTAGTAATTAAAAAAAATGTAAATTATCTTTATTTGTATAATTTATGATAAAGTTTTTTTTTAATCATATAATAATTCATTCTATTGTTCTAATAACTTTTTACCAATGAGATTGAGGCTGAGTATAAATAATTTAATGAATTCCCATTTTTTCTCAGTAATGTTTTTTTTTTTAAATTTTAAATCACTTTAGCTAGGGTGGGCTGATGACTATAACAAACTGTTGTGGAGACGCTGTGCAGATGGCTGATGGAACGATCAAAAATTTTCAGTTAGAGTAACATTTTTTTTTTTCTTATTTATTGAATCAAAAATATTCACCCAAGGGAGTTACTCAGGTTACGATTCTTGATTGGCGACTTGCTGATTAACACTTCTTTATTTTTATTATATTAATAATAATATGTGGTACTATGGGTTGATAGAAGTTATCAATAGTTTCTAATTGAAATCGAAACTTTTCTGTACTAGATTTTCCTGTCCCTGTTAGAAAATTTAGTAAATCCGTTTTCATCATTAACATTATCCGAACCTTCTAATCTTTCAAATCTTGTCATATCAGATCAAAGCACTAGTTCACAATTTAGGAAGCAGTCATCCCTCATTTGTCATCGAGATTTTTTAATTTTTTTTGTTTTAAAAACTTTTCTTTCTTTTCCACGGCCTTCATCAAAACATTTGTTCTTTTTGTTGCTACACGTTTCTCTGTTTTTATTGTATTTGTAATATTTTTATCTGGAGTCACATCATATTCCCTTTTATCTCGAGTTGTTTTAGGTTTGTATTCCATATTCTTTATCTGCGTTTTCTTTAAGGTTTTCTAAATTGTTTTTTTTATTATTACGCCTTGTTCTGTTTTTTTTTTTTAAAGTTTTTTTTTTTTTTTTTTTTTCACAGGATAATATTTTCTTTTGAATAAAAAAAAATTAGTATATTAGTATTGCAATATCTTTATATACCCATTATAGTTTTTTCCTTAATAATAATCGTTAACTCTGACTAAAGTTTTCTTATATCCGTTCTTTTTTTTTTCTAATTCAAACCAAGCCCATATAGTATTATTAATAATAAAGACCTGACTTACTGATAGTAAATTATTATAAATATTTCATTGTTCCTTCTACTGCAAAATCATCAAGCTTTCGACTTTCTTAATCATAAAAACGGTTTGACTTTAACGCATTATTGTTAAAAGACCCGAATGAACTTTTAATATATTATTGTTTATTATTATTATTTATTTATTATTTTTTTTTTTAAAAAAAAAAAAAAGGTCTCATAAACTTCTCTCTTAATAAACCATTGTTTAGTTACAAGGCTTTTTGAATAACCTACAAAAATGTCGTTTAAAGTTAACGACAATTACGGTTTTCCCCCACCTCAACCAAATACTTTTTATTACCATGCCTCAGGTGATTCCGATAATGAACATGAATATGGAACACCACATTATTCAAACGAAGATTCTAATCTTGAAGACGAGATTAGTGAGGGAGAAAATGAAATTATCTCAGATAGTGAAGAGGAAACAAACCAGAGGGAATATTCATTTCAAAATACTGAAACTTTTATAAATGAAGAAGAGGAAGAAGAAGAAGACGACGAAATGGATGTATGTACTTCGGATACTGATTCAGATGATGAACAAGATAATTTCACGATACAAAATAGAGAATTTGGGGGTGATAATAATTTTAACATTCATCAAAATCGAGTATCCAATGGAAATATGAATAATGTGAATGGAAATATGAATAATAACAATAATATCAATGGAAATATTATAAATTTAAATAACAACAGTAATAACAATAACAACATTAGTAGTAATAGCAACTTAAGAAATCATAATAATAATATTATTATTAACAATAATAACAATAATAATAATAACAATAATAATAATAATAATAATAATAATAATAATAATAATAATAATAATATATTGCCTCCTATTCAATTACTTCACGGAAATCAATCATCTTCAATTTCTACTTCAACAACATTAAATACATCTATAACAACACATAATAATAGATCAATTGAATCGGATCTTCCAATTTTCACCTTTAATCCTAATCCTATTAATACGCGTAATTTACCTAATCTGGAGAATACCTCAAATACTTCATATAGTGATGTTTATAATATTCCACCTTACACAGAAAATTTTCATTCTTCACAACAAAATATGTTTAGATTCCCAAATGGAAACCATCAACCTCCGAATTATCGTGCTTCCAATAATGAATCATTAATTTCACAATCATCGATGCCATCATCTTCGTCTTCGTTATCAGCATCATCATCGTCATCATCATCATCATCATCATCATCATCTTCATCTTCATCTTCATCTTCATCATCTTCATCATCATCATCTATTAATACAAATATGCCAACATTAACCCAAAAACAAAATCCTTTAAGATTTGGATTCCCAGAATCTCAAGAATTACGTAATAATAATGGAGCTGATGAGGAAGATGAAGATGGATCATCATCAACAAATTCTTATGATACATCATCATCACGGAAAAGGGCTAGATCAATTTCAAACGATTGGACTAATATTTCAAATCCTCATTTTGCCCCACCAATACAATTTGGTACTTTAGAACCTGTTAATCGAGACATTACAAATAGACAAACTTTGAATCATAATTTAAGATCTTCTACACATTCATCAACTCCACAACCGCCACCGCCACCGCCACCATCAAATCGTTCACCTGCAGTAAATATACTGCCAATTATTGAAGTTCCTCCAGTTTCATTATCAACACATACTAATTTTATGTCACAATATCCTCGTACGAATTCTTACGAATCATCATATGCACAATCATCTTCAACTCCTTCTGTATCATCTCAACCTTCTACATCAATGCGTTCACAACCTCAACAAACTCTCTATTATAATCGTACATCATATGTGAATGGAAATTCAAGGCGAAATTATCCAAATACTTCACATATATTAGATCCTCCTCCTCCTCACTTAAGGGGAACAAATCTTCGCAACAGTGATGAGCAACATAATTATAATAATAATTTTTCTTCGGATGGACGTACCGTGATTTATCCTGAAGTTTCATCGTCTTCTCAAGAACGAAGGCATCCACACACAAATACTAATATAAACAATATAAATAATATAAATAATATGAATAATATTAATAATTCACAAGGACAAAGAGGATCTTCCTCAACTCGATGGTTACCTCGTGCTGAGATACCAAATCGTCGTAATGAAACATTAAGACCAATAATTCCAAACGCCAATTTCCGTCGTCCACCACTAATGCGTCAAAATATTTTTTCTTCCAATCATCCAGCCTTCATTGGTTCCATGCAAGATTCTGTTAGAGCACAAACAAATGATGAGGAACAGGACACCAACATTGAAATACCAGAAAGGTCCGATACTGAAGTAAATGCTACGACCAACCCTATTTCTCAAAATCGTATTATGCCCAGACGTACCGAAATACATCATGATACAAATACACGCGACTTGAGATCTTCATTTCATTCTCGAACAATATCTACGTTAGCTACAGCGGCACCACCGCAAGCTCATACAACTAGAAGTAATTCAACAAATAATCATAGTTCTGACGAACAATTAGCAAGAAGAATACAAGCGCATGAATTCAGTGCAATTAATAATGTAAGTTTTTTTTTTTAATATATATATATATGTGGATAATAGTTTCATATGTCTTTTATTAATATTATTGTTTGATAATAACATTTTTATTTTAAAGAATGAGGAACACAATGCACTAGCCAGGCTTCTTGCTGGAGTAAGAGGTATGTATAGTTAATTGTACTCTTTATTTTATTATTATAGATTTATATATTAAATATTTGGTTATTCTTTACTGGAAAAAACAGCTCGTCCTACATCTCGAAGAGAAACAGGTGCAAACCCATCATCGTCAACACGTAATGGTTCTACTAGAAGGGATACATCAGCGCGTGTTTCAATACCTAGGTTACCGGAAGTGTTATCTCATCACGATCGACATCACAATGAAGAACGTGGTAATGAATCTCGTAGCCGGGCTCGAAGTGGGCAATCAAGAAATGCTAGACAAAGTGGACATGGACATTATTTACATCATTTCATTCCAAGTTACCCATTTTTTGGTAATCTTATTAACTCTGGAGAAATAGAGTTAGAAGAATTTTTGGATTTATTGCCAGATATTTGGGGGTACGCTATCATTTTTTTTTTTAATTATAATTTTTCCAAAAGATATTTTATTTTATCATTGTATTGTATTTTCATTATCTATTAGAAGTGGTATTGCGGAAAATCCGGACAATTACTTGGTTTGTGATTAATAATTGGAAAATTAAATAAAAAGTATAATTATATCATATTAATTTTTCATTTAATTTATAGGATGAAGATGAATTTGATTCTAGCTATGAAGGTTTAATTCGACTGAGTGAACGTATTGGCGATGCGAAACCAAAAGGTGTACCGTCAAGTTACATTAATAGCTTGCCAACGAAATTATATTCAGTTGGCAAGAGTAAAAGTATAGAAGAAAGGTATTTCAAATTTTTAAATTTAGAATTTGAAATTTAAAAATTTTGTATTTACACAATTTTATTTAGAATGTTATAATAATTTATCTTTGTTTTAAATATTCAGATGCACGATATGTTTGACAGATTATGAAAATAATGATCGGATGAGGGGCTTGCCATGTTCTCACGATTTTCATCAAGAATGTATTGATAATTGGTTGAATAATTCTGATAAGTGTCCTATCTGTCGACGTAGCGTCACGGATAAATGAGAAAAAACAAAAAAAAAAACTTCTGTTTTTTTTAAGTGTTTAAGATTTTAACATTAAATATGATGTTTATTGCAAGGATTTGATTTATGTAATTTTGTATAGACGAACTTTTATTTTGCTTTTCCTTTTTTGTATTTACTATCCTTTTCTCTGAAAAGATAAAAACAATAAATTTACTGACCATTTTTTATTTTATTTTAAATAAAGCAGCTAGTTAAAACAATGCATTCATTTGGAGCACACTTTTTTGGACATTTTTTTTATTTTAGTATTTTAGTAGTTCATCTACTAATTTATTTTTTTATAATTCAATTAGCACGTTCATAGTTTAGACAGAAATTTATTTAATTTTCATTGTTTCTATCCCTAATTAGGATTAAACTAATGTACAGAAAATTTCATGTCTAATGTATATATTTTAAAATTAATTTTTGAAAATTAGTCATTTTTTTTTTTTCAATAAAATTATTATTGGTTGTACGATTTACTTAAATGAATTTTATGAACATTCCTTAAAATAATAACTCGGGGATGAATTTAAATGAACATTCCTTAAAAATAGGGATAAATTTTAATTCGCAGATTACTATCGTATGATTAAATGCAGGTGCTAAAGGGGTTAACCATATTTGTCACCGGTCTTCGCCACAATCGTAAGTGGCGGTCGTCGCCGCGTCGCCACTCCTGCGCCGTCTGACTGCCAAATTTGCTACGTTTCGCCACATTAGCAATCATGTGATAATGGATTTCGCTCAGAGTACCAATTTCTTCCTCGTTTTCATCTTTGATATCATTAATATAATTATGGCCGAATTTCAATCTTTAACAACACTTATCAAACGGTTGGAAGCAGCTACCTCTCGTTTGGAGGATCTAGCAACCTCCAGTGTTCCAAATGTTGTTGCCAATAATTTGAGTCGTAATTCAATTGGAAGTCAACCTATGTTAGCTTCTACTTCTAATAATGCGATTTCTAAATCCGAAGTTTCTTTAGCTCTCGATGTGTACGATAGGATTACTGAAGGCCCATTGAAAAATTTTCTTGAACTTTCCAAGATTATCGGTGGACCTATTTCGGAACAGGTGAAGCATTTAGTTGCGATTTCTCTATAATAAAATTCACAAGAATTTTGACGCAGAGTATTTTCATTTTCTTGTTGACTTCAACAAATTTTTTACTGATATTCGGTTATTTCTTAATCTAAAGAGTCATTCCGTCGAGGATATTTTTATAGCTCAACGCGACTTTATATATATAGCCACTCAAAGCACAAAGCCTAAAACAAAAGAAACTTTTGTTGAGTTGATTAGACCCACACAACGGGCTCTTGAAAAAGTTTGTTCATACACAGAGAATAATCGCCCATCTCCTTTTTTCAATCATTTATCTACTGTCAGTGAAGGCATTGCCGCGTTATGTTGGGTTTCCGCTGATCAAAAACCTGCTGGTTTTGTTGGTGATATGAAAGATAGTTCTCAATATTACGCGAATCGAGTGATTAAGGAATTTAAAGAAAAGTACGTGATTATATTATTTCAATTTTAATAAATTTAATTAACGCAATTATTGTTTTCTAACATGTATCGTTATTATTTAGGGAAAGTTCTCATGTTGATTGGGCAAATAGTTTCATACTTCTTCTTACAGAACTTCAATCTTATGTTAAAAAATATCATGCCGATGGCCTCGTTTGGAATCCGAAGGTTCATATTTTCTTCTTTATTATATTTATATATATATATATTTTTTAAAAAATTTCGAAAATTAATTGCCAATATAAATTAGGGTGCAGACCCTGAAACATTTATTGGTAGAAATCTAAAATTGAATTCAACGGGTGCATCATCGTCAAGTTTACCACCACCACCACCACCACCGCCACCACCACCAGCAGTTATTGTGGATTATGATAATATTTCCGAAAAAGGGCCAGTTGATATGAGTGCAGTATTTGCTGAACTTAATCGTGGAGAAAGCATTACGTCAAATTTGAAGAAAGTTGACAGTAGTCAAATGACACACAAAAATCCAAATTTGAGAGATAGTAGTGTGGTGTCTGAAGTTGGTGGTAAATTATTATTTTCGGTATTTTTTGCATTTCATCCTCAGTTTTTAAGTTAATTCTTTTTTAATCAATAGTCAAAGTTCATAAAAAGGGACCTGCAGCTCCTCCAAAACCCGCGTCATTATCTCTTAAAAAGCCACCTAAAAAAATTCTTGAGGGTAACAAATGGATTATAGTAAGTTTATTTATTATTGGTTTTTTTTTTTTAAAAAAATATATATATATATATTTATATTTATATATTTACACATAATATACAAATGTTATTTTTTTTTTCCAGGAAAATTTTGAAAATGATCCCAACATATTGATTGGTGATGCAGCTATTAATCATCTTGTATATATTTATGGTTGCAAAAACTCTACAATACAAATCATGGGTAAAATTAATGCAGTCACCATAGGTAATTTTATAAATTATTTTCACATTTTATATTTTCTATTCTTTAATAATAAAATTCTTTTAATTGATTCTGTATAGATTCATGTCAGAAAACAGGACTTCTTTTGGATTCAGCAGTTTCAGCAGTTGAAATTGTAAATTGCAAATCAGTTCAAGTTCAAATTCAAGGGAAAACCCCAACTATCTCTGTAGACAAGACAGATAGTGGTCAATTATTTTTATCTAATGAGTGTTTTGATATTGAAATAGTGACATCTAAAAGTTCTTCAATTAATGTTAATTTGCCAGGAATAGGAGAAAATGGAGATTATGCAGAAAAGCCCATTCCAGAACAGTTGAAGAGCACTATTATGGATGGAAAACTTATATCTGTTCCTTTGGAACATTCAGGATAATTGCTAATTTAATCAATTTTTTATTAATCTAATTTAATTATCATTGTATTTTTGTATTTTTGAGATTATTTGATGTGAAATGTTTTTTTCAATAAAAATATTAGTAAATAGTTTTAATAGCTTTTGTCACCTTTGTATAAGGTTATTTATTAAGATGCATCAAGTAAATGATTCTTCTTTAGCCCTAGTTAGCTCTTATTGTTCATCTTCACTGGACAAATTGAAGCTTGAATCAAAAAAGAAAGAAAAAAAGAATTAGTAATATTAACAATAAATTTCCCAACAGCCACTTAGAATATCAAAAGAATATATTAAATAATTTTTTCATTAAATTTATCTATTATTAGTTCGCATTTAATGTTCAAGAGATTATACATAATAAATTTAATAAAGTTAATAAAATATCCGAATTAAAAAATTTAAAGAATTAAGATTTGCATAAATTTTAGCTGTTAAAGAAAAGTTATTAGACATGATAGATGAGTTACTTCGCTACATTACACATAATAATCTTCCTTTCCAATATTTATTATATTTAAAAAATAAAATAAAAGAAGGGAAGGTGAGCATTTACTTAACTCTTTAAGGACACCGAAGTAGGAGAGGTTACTAGCACTTCACTACCTCTGTATATTAACTTAAAAAGAAAAAAGAGAGAAACTACCAAAAAGAAAAAGGGAAAGGTGAGCATTTTCTTAGCTCTTTAAGGACACCGAAGTAAGAGAGGTTACTAGCACTTCACTACCTCTGTATATATCTTAAAAAAAAAAAAAAAAGAAAAAGAGGGAGAGAAATTTAAAAAGAGTGAAAAAAATTTTTAAACGCGTATCTATAGCAAAAAAATGATGTCATTTTTTTGCGCCCGTCGATCATTTTTTGTTTATCCCAATAAAAAAAAAGTGCCGATCCCACAAAAATAGATATCTCGCGAATTTAATTTCGAAATATCAAAATAACAATAGTCAAGTAAGTTATAACTTTTATTTCTCTTCTTTTCGATTTTTTAACCGTGTTCTGCTTTGGCCCGTGAGCATATTGATCAAGTGTATTGAAGTACGAGTGCCAAAGTGGAGAATGACATTAGTATCTTACAGTACAATAATGCCAAAGCATATCATTGCGATGTTCACCTTTTATGTTGATTGGCTGCGCGCAATAAATACTTGTGTGTATTGTTTTTTCTGAATTGCACCCGGTATCCTTGTGTATGGTGACATGCCTGTTGCCTCTGCATTCTACTAGTACCAAAGTGTAGTGATGGGATCCGTTTAAGACTTACCCGATGATTTTTTTCGGATAAACGGATATCCGTTCAACTATAAATTACAAATCGGAAATAATTCATGATTGTTACCACATATAAAACATTTCATTTTAATAAGTAAATATAAAAAGCAGTTACTAAGTAACCTTAAAGATAAGAATCTTTTACGTATTATATTAAAGAACAGACCTATATCATCAAAATTGAGAGAACTATTAGCGGTTAAATTTCGAACGGACGAAAAAATTTTAAGTGACAATTGTTCGCTCAATTTTGACGATATATATCTGTCCTTTAAATATAATACGCAAAATAAGAAATTAATTCTTACCTTTGAAGTTGCTTAGTACCGTTATTGACATTCATTTACAATATAAAAAGTCTTATATGTAACAACGATCGGCGATTTTTTAAAATTAATGTAATATATACAAAATCGTCGATCGTTGCACGTATAAAACATTTTATATTGTTAGTGAATATCAAAAACGGTACTTAAGCGTATTATATTTAAAGGACAGATGTATATCATCAAAATTGAGCGAACAATTGTCATTTAAAATTTTTTCGTCCGTTCGAAATTTAACCGCTAATAGTTCTCTCAATTTTGATGATATAGGTCTGTTCTTTAATATAATACGTAAAAGATTCTTATCTTTAAGGTTACTTAGTAACTGCTTTTTATATTTACTTATTAAAATAAATGTTTATATGTAGCAACCATCGATGATTATTTCCGATTCTTATTTTGTTACAAAAAAAATTAATATTATCGGCGAAATATTTATTTTATCCACGGATATCATAGCTCACGGGTAAACGGATATCCGGATCGCACCACTACCAAAGTGTTATGCGGCTCCACCAAATATTCCCTGAATTATTGAAGTTAATCTATTTTTAGGTAACCGAACGAACGGAAGTCAACCAAACCTGTTTTAAAAAAGCGGAAAAGGGTTTATCTTTTATTCGTTTTATTCGGTTTGGTTAATTATTATTTTAGTTAATTTAAATACTATACTTAATTTTATGCGAAATAAAATTTTATTTTTAATGTCATTAAATATGAAAATAATTATTTATTAATTTTTGTTTTCAATTGATCTAAACGTTTTGTGAAGAAATCGAAATCATATTACCAAGTAAATTAAGTTTTATGAAAACAAGAGATATGAAAGTTAAAGAATTATTATGCAATAAATAAAATTTACTTTATTAATTCTTAATTTTGTAATACAATGTTAAATTATCTACAACAATTATTATTTATTCGCTTAACATTCAAAATGGTATAAAATCTACACGTAAGAAATTTTGACAGTCAATGAAATCGGTAATGAAGAATCTGTGATTAAAATATCATCTCCTTCTTCGACTATGCTAGATAATTGTTTCTCCAAATTAGGTCTAGTTTTTTGTTCAAAGAATGGAGGAGATTGCCAATATATTTTTTCGTTCGTGCTCGCTTTCGTTAAGCTTGGTTTTTTAAGTTGTCTATAAATAATTAATACAGGTAAAGATTAATATAAATGAACAATAAAACAAACAAATCGATGAAGACATGATATGGGTAAGGAATTATTAAATGAAGAACATCATACATATCAGGCTTTTCTTTAAGAAATTCGATAAAGTCTTCAACGGTAATATCTCTTTTAATTTCTATTGAGATATTTTGCATTCCACACACTGGACAATCTGGCTTCTTTTGATGTTCAAATGTAAATGTGTATACACCTTCATTTCCAGTATACATCATGTAATTATTAAGATATGGTTGAGAATTTGTGATAATTTTGAATGCTTCATTACAACATGATGCTAAAAATAATAAATAAATAAATAAATAAAGTATTTCATATTTCGTATAATTAATTCTAAATAAGTAAACTATAATTTTACCTGCAATAACAGCATTTGTTGAAGCAATTGCCGGGATGATGTTTTTTACAACACCTTGAGTAAGAGAGTAAGTAACTCCCGTAATATTAAATTCTTTAGCTCTTGCAAGAGCTGTTTCATATAACCATTGAATATGGATTGGATCATCTGTATCCATTTTTTCATCTACATAAAATATTTAATTAATAATAAATCCATAAAATACTTAATTTATTAATTTAATAAATGATCATTTAAATATTTACTTTCTCGTAATTTTGGCCATTGTAAAACTGATGCCCATTCAATGCAATGTTCAGGCAATCTTGGTGTATTAGCAATAGTACAAATCGGGTAGGAGGTTGGTTTACTAAGCATTTCCAGTGAACATTCATAACAAGAAGTAATAGTTGGAATGATTACACGAGCCTGACCTTTAAAACCTATAAAAAGTAAATAAACAATTTTTTTTTTTTTTAAATTATATGTGTATGCTAGATGAAAGTAAATCACGTGCAAAACTTTACCTTCAGTACCACCATCGATCAAGACGCGAATTCTTTCTGGATCATCTTGTACCATATTTACAAGTGTGGCATTTATCCATCTACGTGCCTCTACAGAATCTAAACCACAAATTATCAGATGGAATCCAAGATAATAATCCTCATCTTTGTCTTGGATTTTGCCATAATAACTGAATTATAATTTTTTTTAAAACAAATGAGATTATTTATTTATGCCAGAATCATAAATAAAATTTGTTTGTACATACTAAGATACTTTTACACCAGCAACTCTTTTCATAATAAATTCCGCAGCTACCTTGGCTTTGGGACTTCCTACATCTGATTGTCTAATTATTCAATTCAAAGCAGATACAAAAAGAGCAAACAAATAAGTACAAAGACAAATGTGTAATCTTAAAATTTACTAAATTCTACCTGAATAAAAATTGCCTATTCAAATTTGATACATCGATTGTATCCATATCAATTACTTCAATTTCTCTGAAACCAGATAAAGCCAAATTTTTTAAGATTTCACATCCTAAACCACCTGCTCCAATTACAAGAATTCTACATTGATTAAGCAAGATGTCCTTATAAATCAAATAATAAAATTATTATTAATTCATTACTAGATCATTACTAGTTTTATTAACGTTGAAAAAAAAAAAAAAAAAATTAGACAATACCTCACCGTGACCAGGTATAAAGCCCGAATCACAAAAAGGACCTCTCCGATCTAAAAATTTATTCACGTTAGACCAACGACCGGGCCAGTCCTTTCTCACGGTATCAGTAGCATCTTGAGGTGTTGGAATGTCTGTTTGCATTTGAGTTGCTGCCATATAAAAATCAAATAACAATTTTTCTTAGTATTAGGAACCAATGATTTTTTATAATTGTGATACGAAGCACAATTTAAAACGTACTTCGATACTTCTATAAAAGGTCGTTTTTGATTACCCAGAGAATTTTCTTTTTCGGTTCGATTTTTTATTATAATAATTTCGAACTTTATTTGATAAAATCAGAACTTTACTTAGATCCAACTAAAAACGATCGAAGTTATTAAAAAAATATGATTTGATAATCAATTTCATTTTTAAAGAAGATCGAATCTATTTCAAGATAATTTTATAATTTTTGATGATTATTTCATTTTAGATTAACAATATCTAAAAAAAAAAAATCATTTATTAGATTTATACTACTTCTTGATCTGTTTTATTTGTTTCAGATGAAATATTAAAATGTTATCAATATAAAAATAGAATTAAAAAATTTTAAAAATTCAAATTTTAAATGTTTTATATTTTGTCTTTTTTTTTTTCTTTTTTTTTTTAAAAAAAATCAGATATTGTAGACGATATTATTATACACAATATTGTACAACAATACTGTACAATAATATTATACACAATACTGTTTAAATGAATAACTATTTTCAGACAATATTGAATATCAAAAAGTGAATATTCTTAATATTCCACCGTTCTCTATTTTTTAGTGAAATTAAATAAATTGGAATTTTATATAATCTACAATTAAATAAAAATGAAAACTTTATATGCATAATATGATTATGAAAATAATAAAAAATATAAATTAAGTATGAATTAAAAATAATTGAAAATTCCCTTCACACTAAAAATCCAAAACTTAAATAAAGATGAATCTCATATAATCAATATATGTATTTAATCTTTTAAATTTCAAATTTATCTTTAATGTACATAATCATCAATTTGTGAATCGCCGTGTGTACGCTTTCCTTGTGATGACAAGTGTGACACACAACTCCAAAGTGTAACGTCACCTTCTATTCGAATCTTTCGTTCAATGTTTCGTTGTGTTGCTTTCTCTGATCCACTATCATCAATAACGCTTTCATTTTCTGCTGTGTTACTACTAATAACACTGGTTGCATCATCATCATCATCCGTTGTGATACTTGAAGGGTCATCAATCCTTCGTACAACGAATTTCGTGACACTAGAGTTTTTAGCTTTATGTTTCATACTTAAATAATTATTAACAAAAAATCCTAAATCCATAATTAGATGTTCCTTAACAAGTTTGTTGATAGTACCACCGTGGGTAACTATTAGAACATGTGGATTACGTTTCATCATGCCGGGTTTATTTTTTAAAGAATCTTTACTATTAGATGATTGTATTACACTACCATCATTTCTTGGTAAATGTTTTGCAATCATGTCATTAAAGAAATCAACCACCTGGGCTTTAAAATCTTCATCGGATTCTCCATAATCACTCCATGTCAACTCCTCCTCTTTGATTAAATCTAAAGCTTTATAGATTGATAAACCACTAAGTCTTCCGAGGTCCTATAAAATTTATATTGAATAAATTATTAAAAAAAAAAATAATATGTAAAACAATTAAAAAAAAAATAATAATAATAAAAATTTACCCGTTCTCGAAGTCGAATGTCTTCTGTTAATGGTACATCTGGATGATTTTTTGCAATAATTTCTGCTGTCTAAAAAAGTGAAATTAATTAATTATTATTAACATAAACATCAATATAAATATATATACGATTTTTGTTAATTCTATTCTATTATTAATACCTTTTTTGTTCGAGATAAATCACTGGTGTAAATATGATCAAATTTCATTTTACGTAAACGGTGTGAAACTAATTCTGATTGTTCTCTTCCTGTTTTGTTCAAAATTGTGTCTTTTTTTTTTATCAAAAATGAAAAAAAAGAGTTAATCTTGATTGATGAACCTCTCTGAAAAAAATTACTTTGTTCACATGAAAAAACTTTACATACTTATATGACCCTGCAAAATACGCTTCAAGTTCGAGTTTGTTTCGCCATGCCTGACGACGGTAACGTGTAACTGTGGTTGAGTTGTCATATTGAAAAATATTGAAATATGTAAAAAATGAACTTTTTTTTGATAAAATATTTATAAGTCGTTAAAAAAATTTTTTAGATTGTTTCGTAGTTAAAGTGCGGAAACTGTGAATTTTTAATGAATTATTAAATATTTAAGTAGAACAAAAAGCGTTAAATGGTTGTTAAATCCGTATGGTTGTTAAATCTGTGACCAGGGGGCAAATGATATTTTATTATTTTTTTTTTGTCGAAAGGATGAAAAAGGCAATACAGTAAATAAATAATAAAATCAATCATTTAATCAAAAAAAAAATAATAACCCGCCCGAGGTTTATCTTTTTTAAAGTGCCACATAATTAATGCAAATAATGAAGTTAAATGAAGATCATTAAGTTTTGTAGTATAAACATTTGTCCAAATAATTTACATTTTACACAATGGAATGATCGGATTTTTTATGTACAAGGATTTTTTAGGGTTGAACAAAATTTTCGAGAAAGGGCATACGTTGAATGTGACATATGTACAATGTCGTGCAATCCTTGTCGGCGTTTTCGTTTTTGTATAACTACCAAAACAAGTAAAGTGAAGAGATAAACATTTTTACGGGTATCCCCGGAATTGATTTGATTGAATGTAGGTTTTTTTTAAATAATAATGCGCAGGAAGTAATAAAATTTATAATAAAGTAAAAAATAAAGCTGCAATTCTGCAATCTACCACCAACACGCGAGAAGAATAAGATAAACAATAATATTTTATTATCTTTAGCTATAAAAATTGGAAAGGATATTTTAACGAGGGCGCAGTGTTCAATGGGAAATCTTTTTTATCTCTTGAGTTTGGGAGAATTTTAAATTCCATTGCAGATAAATTTATTTTATTTTCAAACACAAAAGCCAAAATTCACATGAAAAATATGAAATAAAGAAATATTTAACACTTTAAACTATGGAAAAATTAAAGCACATTTTATAAACAAAAAAAAAAAAACCAAAAAAAAATATTATTGTATTTAACGCAATCCAATAATTGATGAGTATTAATAAATATGATGCACATGTGAAAAATATCTAAAATATTTTTTAATATTTTTTGGATACAGTGTTTTACTATATTTATATTTATACATTTGTATTAGAGGAAAAAACATTAAAGTTCAACAATGGAAGAAATAAAAATTATGAATTTTATGCAAGGTGATTATGGATTTTCCAAAAAATGGACAGAAGACTTATGAACATCAAGAAATTTTATTTAACATGTATATATATATAATATATATATATTAAATTTTTTAATCTTGAATCTATTTTAAATTTATAAAAAAAAAAAAAGAAATACAATTGTTAGCACAATTATTGTAAATAAATAAATATAATATAATTGTAAATTCTTTTAAGGATGGATTCAGCGACTTAAATCAAAATGTTCATTAAAAATTTTTTTTCACTAATTTAATGCAGTAGGTTTATCATCATTTATCCGTTATTTGAATATTAATTAAAAAATTTTAAAATTTAACAAGACATACCTTTCTTCCTTTGCAGAGAAATCATCCCATTTTTAATCAACAATTTAAATCATGATATTAATGATCTCCATAGTTGCACAATGTTATACGATGTCCGATTGGTCGATTATATAAAAAATTTCCAGCAAAATTAATTTTTAATTTTTAATTTTTCCTCTGAAAAAAAAAAAAAAAAAAAGAATGACAACACCACCACCACTTAAAGACCCGTGGGCTCGTCGTGAAGCTTGGCGAGCCCACCCTCGGTTTTCCAGGGCTAACGTTATTAGAAATGCATGGCCAGGATTCACTTGGGGACTCGGCGCCTTTTTAATTTATCTTGGCTATGATGCATTATCTACTCGTGGTCACCTTGGTGGTGAAAATAATAAACCTCACTCCACGGAAACTACATCATCTGAAACTCATTAAAATTCATCAGACAATATAGATCACATGTATCTTTTGTTTTTTTTTTTTCTCCTAAAGATTTCAATATAAAAAATCCAAGGTCAATCCATTAAAAAATAAAATTGAAATTGTTCCAATGCTAATTATTTATTACATAATTTGTATGCTATAAATATTATTATTAACTTACGATGATAGATAGCTATTGGTCAACATATTTTTAATTTTTAAATTACCTGTGTATATGTCCGATAGATAGATAGATAGATATATATATTTTTAGATTGAACCCATTCTTTAAATATGCAGAAATATCGACCTTAATAAATCATAAACAACAATCGAGGAATAAATTTATTAATTTTATTACAATATCAAGATTAACCAAAATTTCTGAAAATAACTTTCCTAAACTTATCATCATCACGATTTATATTCTGTTGAGTTTTGCGATTCGACTTGTTTCCTTATATCAGATAATAAAGAATTGACGTCTAAAGTAACATTGTTGTTACTACTATTATTATTATTATTATTATTATTGATTAATTCGTGAGATTTATCAACATGAAATGATTTCTGTGATTCTCTATTGGAATTTATTTCTATTATTTTATCTGAAGTTTGTAAATTCTTAACAGATGTCTTTTGTTTTTTCGCACGGATAGTTGCCATCCTTAAATCCAATTGAGCTTTTCTTTTATCCTTTACACTTGTGTACCCTGCACGTTTTACTTCCGTCTAATAAAACAAAGATTATTATCGCATTAACATATAAGATTCATTGGACTGCTGTAAGTCCTTGGAATTGGATCGTACTAACCTCAATTCGCATTTCTTTTAACGCACGAAGTTGTTCTTCACGTTCCTTTTCATCTTGCGAGAAACGATAGAAACCCACACCCTTTGTTCGTATTTCTATAATATATATTAATATATTAAATCCATTTAAAATATATAATACATAAAATATAGTATCAATTATCAATTTTTTGTTGGAAATATTATTCTTACCTTTCGTCTCATCGTAGTGAATAGGACCATCTAAAAAAGAAATTAAAAAATATAATTTACTCTCGGTAAATTGATTCAAAAGTTTATAGTGTAAAAAAACGACATTTTATATATTATATACACACTTTTCAATTCCTCCAATGCAGCTTTTTCCCATTCATTTTTTTCTTGTTCCATTAGTGAAATTTCCTCAGAATTTATTGATGTTTCTTCTCTCACGCCACTAAAAAATTCAAAATGCAATCAATCAGTATTAATCAGTAGTGATTATATTTATTTAGAAAAAATTTAGATATTTGTTATAATCAAATCAATTTTTTTTTACTTGGTAGTTGGTAAATTTTCTTCTGGAATTTGACTTTTCCGGCACACACGCGTTCTTCCGAATTCATCGATATATTCTACCCACGGATCATCATCTTCTTCATTCCCTTTTTCTTTTTCTTCTTCATTATTCATATTCTAATGTAATATATTTATATTTATATTTATTTATTTAGTTAATTATCTGCACATATTTAAATTATAAAATTTATATATTATATATATTTACTGAGAAGTTCTCTAAAACTTTCCGATCAAAATCAACTAAAACTTCTTCCGCAAGAGTCTCATCTATATAAAAATGATTATAAATTTAATAAATAATAATAATAAATAAATAAATAAATAAATAAATAATATGTGAACAACAACCATAGATTCGTAGATTTACCATCAATTCCAGTCTTTATCAATTGATCATATAATTTTGCTTTTCTTTCCATAGCTATTCGACTAGCCTCCAAAGTTGGTGCATCAATTATTTCTAATTCATCTCTTCGAGATCTTTCATTTACTCCTTTATTCTGGTTATCCCATAATCCTGGTTTCTAAATGTTGTTTTAGGAAATAAACACAGAAATGAGTACTTTATAAATTAATTTAAGTTAAATTAATTAATTGTAATGGAAAATTCCAACCTTAACACTCTTTCTTAAAGCTGCAGAGACGGGTTGATTATTTGCTGCCACCTTTTGTTTTTGAAACTCTTCTTTCTGTTTGAATAATTCGGCCTTGAGGTCTATGACCTTTTATAATAAGAAAAAGAAGATAATAATAATAATAATAATAATCAGTTTGCATTCTTTATCCTCGAAGCTGAACGGGTGGAACGGTGATCTATATATGGACTTTACCGAAGAGCCGCTAATTTCTATAATTCTATTAGGGTCTTGCATAATGTATATATCTTATCTTATAATTAGTATAAAATATATGTATGTATTAAATGTACTTTTGATTACTTTCTTTTGTTCGAGGAAAGTTAAAATTTGAATTCGGCACGTGCTATTTTAGATGGTACAAATTTGATATAAAAATGTATAAAAAAAATTCCTTGTAAAATTTTGACGACACAATTATTTACACATATCATGGCAACTTTCGAAGGAAGTTCCACGTTTCAAAACCTTTTGTATGTAGTTGATCAACCTTTTGAAAATATAGCCGTTGAGTTCCAAGGTTTAGTACCTGAACAAAAAAGGTTCGAAGCTGCTTGCGCTTTGATGGTATTATTAGAAGATGGCAAGCTACAGGTCCGTTTAAAATATCACCAATAATTATTATTTAGTCTATCCCTATTCTATTATAGTAAAAGGTCTATCTTGATAATCTGTTAAAATAGACTTATATATATTGTTTGGTTCGCGTTTTTTGTTTTAAAACAAATATGTAGGCTAACCAACGAGTTGTTGCACTTTACATTCTTTATCATTTATATAATGTCGTTCCTATTCATCAAAATCCATTCCTATTACTTTTTCTAAATCTCTATAAGACATTATTTTCAAATCTAGCTTTTGTTAAAGCCAATTATGAATTAATGGTCGAATTTCGAGTGGAAGCTTTAATTTTAGCTAATAAAGGTGAACAGGTAATAATTATTTAGATGAATTTTATTTTTATTATTATTATTATTATTTTTATTTTTATTTAAATAAATTATGAAAAAATTTATCATCATCATTAACTAAATTATACTAAATATACATTAATTAAATTAATTTAACGTGTCAAATTCTTTTTCTTATTGAATTTAATAAAATTTATTCAATAAAATTCAAAAAAAAAAAAAATTTGATTGTTTTTTTTTTTTAGTTAGCAAATAGAACACCCACTGATATATTCACACAATTTGCAAGTAATGATAATTCCTCTTTAGTGGATACAGAAGAAGTAAATATAGCAGGATTTGAACATTATATTAAAAGTGAATTGGATGTACAATTGCCACAAAAAGGAGAAAAATCAGAGAGGTATAAAAAATATATTCACATTTCCTTTTTACACTTTTTAAACTTTTTAAACTTATTCCAATGGTATAAAATTTATGACTTTATTTAAAAAAAAAAATGTTTAGACAATGGTCTTGGGCTGATATTGATGACTTGGACGTTCGTGAAAGTTCCTATGCCCCATCACAACCACCTCCTTCAGTAATACCAAATGAGGTATTTTTATTATAAATTACTCTCAATAATAATAATAATAATAATAATGAAAGTTATTTTATATTATTTCTTTTTTTTATATTATTTCTTTTTAGCACAATCCTATTGAGGTGGATTCTGAAATAGAATGGGATTATAATATTCTGGCAGACTTTACAGATCGTGATGATATTAAACTTTTGATGAACAAAGCTTTACAAAGAGCATTGTCAATACCAGAAGAAGAGGTTTGCTAAATAATAATAATTATAATTATAATGATAATAATAATAGAAATAAAAAAATAAAATGTTAAATAATAATAATAACAATAACAACAACAACAATAACAATAATAATTATATAATAATGAATTTTGGATATTATTATTTATATTCCTTTTTTTTTCTTCAGTATGTCCTTAAACAATTTCAGAAGAATCCAAAGTTGATATATCATTGTGATTTTTCACCAGAAAAACTTCCTTATCTGATTGAAAATAATTCAAGAGTTGCAGTAGAAGCCTTATTACAACTAAAATCATCTCCTCAGATTGGAAAGTGAGTAAATCATTCCTGTAATTAATTTTTAAATATATAATCTAATTTTAATATAATAATACAATGATATTAATATAATATATCTACACACATAACACATATACATATATAATATATTTAATATATACAATAGATATTTAGAAACACTTTTAACAATTAATGGTCCAGAACGAGCACAACAATCATCTATAGAACCAGTTAACCGTATGAGATCTTCTATGGAAGTTGTAAATCAACTTCTCACCACTTTTCCATTGTCTCCGGAATTTTTGCATTCATATCTATCTAATTGTGTGCACGCTTGTGAGGAATGTCGAAATAGGAACATCCAAGATCGGCAAGTTCGTCTCGTAAGTTGTTATCTTTTATTCTATTGGTTATTATTATTATTCTAATTTTGAAGAATTTATTCTAATTATTATTTTATTACCACTTTGTTACTAATTTAAAAACTTTAGATTTGTGTTTTTCTCCAATCGTTAATTCGTAATAACATAATAGATGTGAACCGGTTCTTCATTGAAATACAAGCTTTTTGTCTTCAATTTTCGAGGAATCGAGAGGCAGCCGGATTATTCAGATTCTTATTAGATTTACAAAGGGATGCAGTGGGTGAAGATGTATTAGGTGATAATGTGGTGGTAAATGGTAGTGATAATGATGATAATAATAATAATAATAATAATAACAATAATAATGATGATGATAATAATAATATTATTACCACTACCAATACTAATATCAATAATAATAATAATAATAATAATAATAATAATAATAATAATAATAATGGGGAACATAATATAAATGGGGATCCGGGAAAATGTGAATTATCATAAATCCTTATTAATGTTAAACATTTGTATAAAGTGTAATAGAACAGTTACGTACATATATATATATATATATATATTGCATTGTATAATAGAATATATAATTATATTAACATTAAGTAGAATTATACTTAAAAAATATATTCTTTAATGAATTTTTATTTATGATTTGAATTGATTGATTTAAATACAATTGATGATTTTAACTTTTATACATTAAATTTTGATTATCTTAATACAACTGCTGCATGCCTTAATCCAAGATAATCCTGAACAACACCTGGAGCCAATTGTTTGATTTCTTTATAAACCTCAGCAGAATGATATCTAAGTCGGGTCTTTGGATCCGTATATTTTGCCTAAATTATTTTGTTTCATTTAATTATTATTGTTATTATATTATGAAAGATTTAGGAAAAGAACTTTAAAATTACCTCCAATCCTGTAATATCACAATATTTTTTTTGTGGTATTATTGAAGGTGGTGCCTCTATATTTGAATCTAAAATATGATATATAAAAAAATGATAAAAGGTTTTTTAATAATAATTTTCTTTCATATTAAAAGAAAATAGAATACAATTATAAAGATATAAAATGTTTAATCACATGTCGGTATGTCTAGAGGCATATTCTCCCTTCTTTCAGCAACCAACATTTGTTTAACATTTTTAAATTTTCTTGGTGGTCGATAATGTGGATTCTTAAATCTTTTAATAACAGTATTAAGATTTAATGGAGCTGGAAAATTATTAAAGTTATTGTAAAGTAATTCGGTATTCATATCATTATTTGTAGTATCATTATTATTATCATCATCATCATTATTATTATTATTATCATTATTATTATTATCATCATCATAAGATATGGGATGTGCTTCCGTTGTTGTCGTTGTTATTGGTATTTCTGTTGTTGTTGTTGTTGTTGTTGAATAAGAAGAAGAAGGAGGTTCAAAAATTGGTTCTTCTTCAATTACTGTTTCACCAAATTCAACTTGAGGTGTCATAATAACATCTCCATCCGCTTCTACTCCTGATGAATATGTAACATTATAATCTACTTTTGTAGTAGCTGCTGCTTCAGCGGCTGCCTTTTCTTGCTAAATATTATTATTATTATTATTATTATTATTATCATTTAAAAAATTTAAATCAAGGTTAGGAATCAAGTGATTTCTCGAATAGAATAATAATTCGATTTTATAAAATTTCATTTTCAAACCTTTGCTGCCCTTGTTACACTTCGGGTAGTTGCTTTCTTGGGAGTTTTCCTAGTTCTAAAGATAAAAAGTATGTTAAGTAAGTGAAGTAATGTAAATAAAGTAAATTTTTCAGAGAAACAACTTACACAACCATGATTTTTAATGATTGTGTAGTGCGAAAAAACTTTATTATACAATTAAATCATTTACCACGTGAAATGTGAAACGATTATTTTTTATTTTTTTTAAAAATGTTTAAAAAGTATGTTTTCTATTTCCATATATTTTATTTTTGATCATTACAATATTCTGTCTAATTCATTTTTATTTTGTTTTTCCCAAATAGATTCAATCTAAAAGAAGACATAGCAACTCAATCCCAAGTCAAATCTTCGGTGCAAAGAAGCATTCGATCTAAAATTCTTGAACAGTATAAAAAATTAGAATCAGTAATTGAAGAAGTTTTACCCAAAAAAGCACCACTGGTTTTAGTAAAATGGCAAGCTTTAATGATTCATTAATGTTTCTAATGTTTTATAAGAGAATTTCACAAGATTTACTTTCTTTCTTATTATCTATCTATCTATTTATTATAGTCATGAACATATTAATTTATTAACTATAAATAATGAAATATTATTCTTTCAACATTTTGATGGACCATATTATCCAGCTCTAAAATTGCTTCACAAATGTAAATATATGTATATATATATATATTTGATTTATTATTAATTAATTTTATATTATTTCATATTTATTTCATATTTATTTCAATATTTAATTTTATATTATTAGATCCGGATGCCTTCCCTAGATTACAAGTAGATAAGGGTGCAATAAAACGTATTCTGTCTGGAGCAAATATTATGTGCCCCGGTCTAACAAGTGAAGGAGCAAGAATGGATGAAGAATTACCGAGTGGTACTATTGTTGGAGTTTTTGCTGAAGGAAAAGAACATGCACTTGCTATAGGATTAACAAAAATGTCAACTGGAGATATGTAAGTTTTATATTTATTTTATTTTATTTAATATCATTTTAAATCTTCTTTTTTTTTTGAAATGCTCATTAACAAAATTATTAATTTATAAAAAAAAAATAAATAACAGAAAAAAAATTAACAAGGATATAGGAGTTGAAAATATTCATTATTTAAATGATCCATTATGGAAGAGTAATTTAGAATTATAATATAAATAATACTAAAATTAAAATAATTAATATGACAAGTATAGATTTATTGTTTTTATAATGAGTGACTTTTTTTTATATATATGCATTATAAATCACATTTGGGAAAAATAAAAATAAAAAAGGCACAATTATTATTATGCCATTTACATTTATGGCTTAAAATCATTATTATTTTATTACATGGAAAAAATACATTTATATGTATTAAAATATATAATTGAATAATTGGGATTTTATAGATTAGAATAACACTAATTACCAACAATAAAATTACTGCACATGAAAAATTAAGGTGCATTAAGTATTTCATTTAAGTGAATGTTCTTTTAAAAAAATTGTCCATGAAAATATAATTACTAGTAAAAATTGCTTCACACTTAGGACAATTATCAATAATAGGTAGTACAACATACTTGTGAAAGAACTCTATCAATCAGATCAATATTTAAGATAAAACCTCTCGACCATTAATCTTGGTATCCATGTTTATATTGACGCACAATATTGTTTGGGTATCGACTCCATGAATAAATTTTTCTTTTCATTGGGCCAATGTCAATCAAAAAACATATGTTCCTGATGCTAAAATTCATATCTAAATCTATCATTAATCTTTTTGAAATCTGAATTACTTTCAATATTTTAAACCTCAACAACAAAAATTGGGTTAAAAGGATAACCCTGAAAGATCCAATTTTGGAGCTAATTCAAATGGCAGCCCATTTCTTTTGGTATAAAAGATATGTCTGGTTTTCGGGATTATCGGATTATCCTCTCATTAAAGTTAAAATTTCCTTGTGAGAATGTGATATCTTCATTTTGATTGGTATACATCAAGCTGTACCACAATTTTTATAACTTTTACTTTTGATATTGCGAGTTGTCGAACTCAAAAAGGTTAATTGGGTTTCCGTTGATTCTATAGTTTGAGTCTTAAGTTGATTATTTATGTATTCAAAAGTATAAACTTTCTTGAGGTCTAAATTTTCATGATAAAATTCAGAGGAATATGAAAAATATGTATTTATATAGTTAGTCTTGTATCGCACAAGCCAATGATTTTTAGATCTTGTAAATCTCGAGAATTACCTTATAACCTATTGTCACGTAGTGAAGATGACTTATTGAAAGAATTGAGATATAAAGACTAATTAATTACTGTTAAGATAACTAAATTATATAATGGAGATTACACAAATTCAAATTCACTAAAAATTAAAACTATTTTCATCATAGTTTCAGCACCGTTTCTGACATTTTCATAAATTAATTTTTTATATAAAAAAAAAGTTATCATTTATTATCCTATCATTATCACTATTATCACTCTAAACCGCTTCATTATTATTCACTATTTTGTTATCTCCAGTTCATTTATTATTTCCTATTTCTTCACACCAGATTTAATAATTATCAAAGTTTAATACTGTTAAATCAACGAGGAAACGTGACGGGTACATATTCGATGATCACTCATGTGGGATAACTAAAGTATACTCGGGAAACAGAGAAAATATGTCCATTTTTAAATTAAACGTCATATTGACATGCAAAGTGACGTAACGACGTAGCCCCTTGTAATACAACCTTAACTTTAATTACTTTAATTTCAAATTTCTGAAATCTTATAAATTCTTATAAATTTTTAATAAAAATAAATTCTTAAAATGTGGGATATAATTTCACCTTTTTTTAAAGAAATTCATGAGGATCTTACTGAAGAATTAAAATATCAAAAACTTAAACACGAAATTAAAGATGTTAGTGAACTTATTGAAAGACTTGCCTCAAAAGCTAAACTTGACCCATTAAGTGTAGACTTTTCAAAACACCTGGATGAAAATGATCGTTTAAAAAGTCTTAGAGAAGAATTTAACATTCCCAAAGCTGGAGATATTGTAACTGATGGTGTCGGTAGGTTATCTTAATAATTTTTAATATATATTTTACAGCAAAATTTGAAAATTACAAAAAATTCTCTTTTTTTTTTAGAAGCTATAAGTCCTGGAGAAAAATCAGTTTATTTTTGTGGAAATTCTCTCGGATTAATGCCAAAATGTGCTAGAGAACTTCTAAGTCAAGAACTTGACGTATGGGCTTCTACGTAATTATCATTCGCATCTTCTTTTAAACATTTAAATTTTTTATAAAAATTTATTTTACTAATCAAATTATTTATTATTTTAGTGGAGTAGCTGGTCATTTCCAACATAAATTCAATCGACCTTGGGTATCTATTGATGATAATGTGGTGGAAGGAATTGCCGAAATTGTTGGTAATGTTTTATCACATTATCAAGTTATTATCACAATTACCCAACCCGTTATTATTAGTTATTACAATATTATCTTTATTATAAGTCTAATACCAATAAAAATGTAATCAGGAGCAAAACCTATCGAAATAGCCACTATGAATACTCTCACCTCCAACCTTCATTTACTTATGGCTTCTTTTTATACTCCAAACAAAAGTCGAAATAAAATTTTGATAGAATCAAAGGCATTTCCATCGGATCAAGTATTTAACCCATACATATAACATAAATATAATATTACATAATTTTCTATTATTTTAATTAAATAATAACAATAATAATAATTATAATAATAATTATAATAATAGTATGCGGTCGAATCCCAAATTAAATTTCACGGATTTGATCCCGCTACAACATTAATTAAAGTTAATCCACCACCAGGAGAATTTAACGAAAGATTAGAAGATATTTTAAATATTATTGAAAAGGAAGGCAATAAAATTGCTTTAGTACTTTTCAGTGGAGTACATTATTATTCTGGACAATTCTATAAAATCAAAAAGATCACTACAGCTGCCAAGGCAAAGGTTAGATTTACATGTTATTTACATTTATTAATTGATTTATTTAATTTTCCACATACATAAACAAATAATATACATAATAACACGCATATGAATCTATTTATAGGGTTGTGTTGTTGGTTTCGATCTTTCCCATGCAGTAGGAAATGTAGTTTTGAAACTTCATAAATGGAAAGTTGATTTTGCAACTTGGTGTACATATAAATATTTAAATTCTGGTCCTGGAGGTATTGCTGGTATTTTCATTCATGAGAAACACGCTAATGATTTTAATCGACCAAGGTAATTTTTATATTTATCATAATTTTATTGTTTTATTTTATTTTATTTTTTTTTTTGACAATTAAATAATATTAAAATTTAAAATGAATTTAATTTATTTAGATTTGCAGGATGGTGGGGTTCTGATAGGAAATCAAGATTTCAAATGGATAAACGTTAGTATGATAATAAAATGTTAAATGTATGTATTTCATATTATGATTAACCTTATCTCTCATTCTCTCATAATTTTCTTCTAGCTTTTCAACCTATTCCTGGTGCAAAAGGATTTCAAGTATCAAATCCTTCAGTATTAAATACAGTTTCACTTCTTGCAAGTCTTAAAGTATTTGATAAAACTAGTATGGTTCAACTTCGATCAAAATCTATTTTGCTTACTGGATACTTGGAATATCTTTTGGATAAACAACTTAATAGTTTGGGATATAAAATAATTACTCCTCGGGATCCTCATCAACGTGGATGTCAACTTTCTTTATTAGTTGATGAAAATAAAGTTGAACAAGTTAGTAAAGGATTAATGAAATATGGTATAGTTATTGATGTGAGAAGTTCTAGTGTTATTAGAATTGCTCCAAATCCTATGTATAATACTTTTTCTGAAGTATTTAGGTTTGTTAAGGCATTGAAACTTATCATGAGTGATTTAGGTATTAGTTTTTCTGTTTCTAAAGAAAAATCTGAAACCAAGTAATTTAAACTTAAATTTATACTTAAATTAAGTAGATAATTTAGCATAGATCTATTTATTTAATGAACCAAAACTTTTTTTTATTGAATTTTATATCATTTATTTGTATATGATTAATAGCTTACTGGACTTGTTAAAAAATTTAATTTATAAGTTACTATTGATTTATTTTCACATTGAAATATCATTTATTTCAATTATTAGATGTCATTTAAATAATATTAAAATTTACTGTGTATTTCAATTTATTTAGATTTGCAAAATGATGGATTCTGATAGGAAATCAAAATTTCAAATGGATAAATGTTGTTATCTAGTTAATTGCATGAATTATTTTATCAATTCTTTTAGAAGTTTAATGTATTACATCCATAGACACATGGATAGTAGTTTGGTGATAGCTTACTTGAAGGTACCAATCAGTTTTGAAACATGATCAGCTTAATCTTTATAATGAAGCTAATGATTTTAAGCTAAACCATTTAGCACTTTTTTAACTTTTTAATTTTTATTAATAAGTTTAATTTTTTTTAACTTTAATTTTATTAATAATTATAATCTTTTTTTATATAAACTCTCTCTTTCTCTCTCTCTCTCTCAAAATTAGTAATTTTAAACCTAATTGTAAATTTATTTATAACAAAAAATCTTTCTATATTTTGTCTTAAATTTTTACTTATAGTATTCTAAACTAGAGCCCTAAACAGGTTGACTTGTTATAAAAACATAATGGATTATAATTCATATAATAAATTTCATATAAAATTCTAATTCATTTAATTCAGGAAGCAGCAGGAAGGGTGGGCAGACTTTCTATTTTGTGTTCCTCACTTTTACACCTTTAGGTTTTACGTTTTTCTGGCTTTTTTAGTGCTTTCTTGAGAACATTAGACAAAAACTAATTAAGGAATCAGATTGAAAGCTTTCTTGTATAGTGTATTTCTTGTGAATTTTACAGCTTTAGAACTCTTAAATCGTTATAAAAAAATTTTAATATTTGGAATTTGGTGTAATTTTATGCATAGCTAGAATATTTTTAATTTTTTATAAATCGTCCAAATCAATAGTTTGAGATCCTCAATAGTTTTAAGTATCTTTAACGGGAATTTGACTAGTAAAATAATTGTATACCTAGAGAGGCTTTAATCTTTTATTAATTACTATAAATTGCACTGTCTTTCTTATAAATTTTAAAATGATAGAAAGCTGAAACTGATAATGAAAAAATAAAGTATCTGATATGATTTAATATATAGCAATTTTTTTTTGTGTCATCATCTTTGATGTAATTTTATATGTTTTTTATCCATAGCAGATGAAGAAGTAGTGTTCTTGCCAAGCTGGTAAGTATAAAACCTTTTTCCTCTCTAGTTCAGAAAAAGAAAGTAGTTAACCTAATTAAGATCTGGTTTTAAGCAGGTACTACGAAAAGGTAGGATATATATATTGATATATGTTATTACTTTATTAATAAAAATGAAAACTTTACATATTTGAATACGAACTGATGCGTGAGTAGAAATAATTAATTTTTATTTAAACAAAAGATCTGAATAATTAGTAGTAATAAAATTCACCAGTTTTAATATTTAAAATGATACTTCCATGTTCCAATTGTGGAAAAGATAATTTCAAAAAAACTTGAGACCGAGATAAGCATTTGAATCCAAATCGAGCAAGACCATGCTTACCTTGCAATTTACCTGCATCAGTTTCTAATATATAGATTATATCAATTACTAATTCTGAACCTGAAATCAAGAAAGCAAATCTTCAGCATGAGCCATCTCCAATGGTACAGCCAAAAATTGATTCTAAACTTGTTCCAAATTCTTTACCAATCTTGTCACCGCATGCTAACAAACAAAAAATAAATAATACTTCACAACGTACCAGGTTAACAATCAATAAGCACCCAGATGAAAGTGTTAAAGAATGAGCTATTCGTCTTGCCGATAGATCAGACAAGGTTAGTCATATGAAGCAAAATTGAAATTGGTTACGCAGAAGAGGAGAAAATCTAAAAAGTTGTATAGAAAATACATTCTTATCCCTTTTACGAAATGACTCAGAAGTATGGCAAGAAAGAGAGCGAATTGGGGAGATATACTATAGAAAGAAGAGATGAAAATGATGGCATAGTTACATATATTAGCTCAGATTTGGATGAGTTAAATGAAGTTAAAGATAACATCAGAAAAATAACATCCCATTTATTAACAAAACTTTCATCATTACAACTTCCCAATCAAATCCCACAGATTGATTCAGAAACTGGTTCAGGTCCTCGAACCCAAGCTTATTACGAAAGTGGGTTTCTAGATTTAAATATAGAAGTGCCTTGACCAGTTCCATTTCCAAATGATGAAGAACACCGTGTAATATGGTAAAATGGTATTCAGACTTCAAAAGATATGTTCAAAGTAGATGAAGCCGAATATGCTTTCTCAACCTGGTTTACAACTGCTAAAGAGATTGATTTGGCTGGCATAATATTAAGAGCAGAAAATAAAGATGACACCATGCAAGGAGTATTTCTGCAATGCTTATATCATAATTATTCAGAAGAAGAAATCAATGAAAATCTAGAAATAACAGTAGAAACTTATAGAGCATCAGATAAAGGGAGTAAAAAATAGTTAAAAAATGTGAAAGATCAAATAAAATCAAGAAAGTATGAAGCTGGGATGATTGAAAAGCGGACTCAAGAAATTTTAAATATGATCGATAATGGCGAGTTCTTAATAAGGGTAAAATTCATTCAAGATGCTTCTGTATATGGAAATGAACTTCAAACAAAAATCACTTTTAAAATCAAAGACAAGTATGAGCCTATTTGTGAATCAAAAAAGGCTAGTGGTAAATATGTCCTGGGCACTCCAAATATCATACTTATAAAGAAAACAAAACCAGGCTTTTGGGTAGGAATAGACGAGAAATTTCTAGTTAGAGAAGTTGGTGTGCAATCTGAAGTAAGAAGACTTGATAGCAATGCAGTAGTCTATAAATTATATCGAATTCGAAAACCAGATATTAATTGACTAATGTTCATGAAAGATGGAGTACTTAATTGTATACCTGCCACCCAAATTCAAAATCCAAATGCCAAAATCCCAAATGCCAAAATCCCAAATCCCAAATCCCAAATTATGATTAGTATTTTTTGCCGAAATCCCAAATCCCAAATCCTAAATACTAGTAATTTGGGATTTTGGCGTTCCAAATCTCAAATGATTTGGGATTTGGGCAACACGTATACTTAATTGTATAGCTCAACGAGTAGTAGATCATTTTGATCAAGCCAAGAGAGGGCACGGGTTCACAAATATTCGTCAACAAAAAATTGATACATGGGAGAAAAAAATGCGAGTTTCCGGTACTCGGATACAAGATGTAGCAGAATTAGAAAAAATTCTCAAACAGCCAATAACATTGTTCGATATTACTTACGGAAAAATCTTTAATAGTGGAAAATATCGATCTGATAAGTATGAAGAAATTGAAATAGTGGTACATAATGGACATACATTTTCAAGAAACCAGCATTTTTCAAAAGACCGAATGGTCGAATATTATAAGAACGATACTTGGGAAGCTATTAACAATACTCTTCAAGGCCCTCAAGCAATCTGGCTTATGGGAGTAGGAGATGAAACCCAAAGAGTATCTCAATTTGTTCTAGAAGATGGTCGTACATTTAGAACATGGAAAAAGCATACAGAAATTATAGAAGTATGTAAACAATTAGTTAATGATGCAATAAACTGGCAGTATCAGGAAGGAGTAATCAGTGACAAAAAGAAATTGATTCTTTCAGAGTCTCTCAAAGTAGTTGACTTGACAGAACAAGTATTTGGCGCAAATCATGCTGGAAGTCGACTTGCCAATGAAATCAATGAATGGTATCCAATATCTGAAAAAATAAATGAGGATATAAAACAAGCTTGTGTTGAGCATGGTCACGGCGGACGCTGGAATGCTCCTGATTATCATATCAGTAACGTTGTATGTATTGACATGAAAGAATATTATCTGGCAAGTATGCGAGGTCAAGGAAAATGTACACCATTGTTCAATAGATTTGAACATCCAACACATTATCTTGTTAAAGTAGCAGTAAATAATGAACTTCCACAGGAAGATATTATTGGGTTTGCACAGGTAAGGTCTTTTAAATTTGTGTCAAATATACATCCAGTAATTCTTGTCTGGTATGGAAAACATTTTGCATGTCGGAGTGGAGAAGGATGTGCAAAAAATAAAGGATGGGCTCCTATTGTACTTCTACGATATCTTCTCGAAGTTGATATTCTAGAAAATTTAACTATTGGAGAAGCAATTATCTCCCTTATACAGCAAACCAAAGTATGGCTATCAGAAAATCGAGATATTAGTTGTGCAATTATAGGTAAGTTTACACAGGGTAGCAAAATTGATGAAAAGCGTCTTACTTATCGACTTGTAACGAATGAAGGTGAGCTTGATTTCTTGATCAAAGATTGTACTGATGCTGGAACTTTTGCAGGTAGGGAGAAATGTCTACTCAGATTTATACTTATATATTATAAGGGCCATTAACCTCAGTACATGTATTTGCAAGCCTCAATGTTAGCTTATGCTTATATAAACTTGTTGGAAATGCTATAGAGATTTCAACCAAATGAAGTAGTAAGAATTGCTACAGATTCTATATATATACAAAAAGAGGCTTTATATAAGATCGAAAATATACTGGCATTTTTCAAGCAAGTTGAGGTAAAGTCAGATCCAATTTTATGTTCACACTATCCTTCTTGTGCAATGTGTAGCAATCCAGAAGAATTTCTTATTTCAAAATCGGAATATGTAAAATGGATTAAAGAGTTCCAAAAAATTAAAACGCCTCTAGTACAATATAATTGTAAAAAGCATAATCCATTTGTTTGCAGATTTTGCTTTGGAGAATGGTTTTATAAATCGGATTCTTGTCAGAAGCAGTTAAATTGACCAGAAGAGCAAAAAGTTCGAGAAATTCAACCTGGTCAATGGCATAATAAAGGTGAAAAAATATATAGACCAGTTGCTGATATTGTATACTGGTCAAAGAATAGGCATTGGGAATCAATCAAAAATATTTCGATAGTACAGCACCCTCAATTCACGATCTAATTACAAGATGCCAAAAATCATATCTCAATAGAGAGGGAGGGTCTGGTAAAACAACACGTGCAATTCGGATCTTTAAAAATATAAATATGGTTGTCTTTACATATACAAATGCATTAACCAAAGATTTTCGAGAAAACTGTGATGTAAAAGCTCAAACATGGCATAGCTTCTTTCGATAGAATGGTGTAGGGAATTGGACACCCGAACGTATGGGAGAAAAGAAATTTTCACAAGTCATTATCTGGGATAAGGTATGTACAGTACCTAAACATATTCTCAAAATGTTTA